CCAGCGGGCGGGCGGGCTGCTTGGAGGAGGCGACCCGGCGGCGCTCCAGGTTTCCCCTCCGCCGCGCGGCTCGGGGCCAGGCGCGAGTGCCCGCTAGTTAAAAGGAAGCCTAAAGTTGCTGGGAAGTTGCTCGGGTGCTGGGAGCAGGCTTTTAAGAGCTGCGCCCCAAGGAGCAACTGGCGGCCTGAGCGGGGGGAAAGGCAGGCGAAAGCCCCCCACACACACACACCTCGGCAAGCGGTTTGCAGGGTTAGCCAGCAGTTTCTCGCAAGAGACTGAAGGCCGGTTTGCTCCCCCCAATTAGATGTTGGTTCAAGAGGGAGGGTCAGCCTGCTGATGTATATGTATCGTATCTTGTGCTGACCCGGCCCGTCTGTCAAATTTTAAAAGTCAATGCGGCCCCCGAGCCAAAAAGTTTGCCCACCCCTGGATTAGACACACAAGGAATTTGTCTCTGGTGCAGAAGCTCTCAGCTAACATGCAAAGCAAAAAAGTAGTAAGAACCATAATAGTATCAAGAGGAAGTAATAAAGAAGCTAAGGAGGATAATAATACAGCCATACAACATGGCCACTTAAATACATATTTAGATATGACAGTATTGTGAGAATTAACTACCTGTGTCTAGTTGTATTTGTATTCAATGCCCTGCAGCTGTGTTCCAAGGGGAGGAGTTGAAACAGTTTATGTCCAAGATGTGAGGGGTCTGTAGCAGAGGTGGTATTCAGCAGGTTCTGACCACTTCTGGAGAACTGGTAGCAGAAATTTTGAGTAGTTCGGAAAAACCATCAAATATCACCTCTGCCTGGAGATTTTACAGTATCCTTCCCCTGCCATGCCCACCAAGCCACACCCACAGAAGTAGTAGTAAAAAAAATTGAATCCCGCCACTGGTCTGTAGATACTCAGCCCTTTTTCTGATCTGCACCATATACAGGTCTTCTATGGAAGGCAGGCTGATTGCAGTTGTTTTTCCTGCAGTCCTAACTGTCCGCTGGAGTCTGTAACTGTTTGGTTGCTGTACCATATTAGACACTTATAGAAGTAAAAATGACAAACTCAATAATTCCTCTGTAGAACTGTATCAACAGCTCCTGGGACAGTCTGAACCTCTTGAGATGATTCAGGAAGAACATTCTTTGTTGTACCTTTTTAATGATGATTCTAATGTTAGGTGTCCATTTCAAATTGGACAGATTTGGAAGATTATGGAACACAAAAACTTGAAGGATGCTACTACTGATATTGTACTACTTGCCTGATACAGTAAGAGGTGGTAGAATAGAAGGGCTCGTAAAATCCGCTCTCATCTCTACAGTTTTAGACATATTAAGCTCCAGATTGTCCAGCTGCAACACAGGGTCACTTGCTCAAATTCCTGTCTATATGCAGATTAATTGCTGTCTCAAATGAAACCAATGACTCTTGTATCATCTGCAAATATCAGTTGAGGGTGAATAGGCAATCTTCTTTGCATGTGAAACTTTCTTTTTATTCTCTGTACAATATTCTTCCATGGCTGAATGCATTTTTCTCCCGAATTACCCAAATGTTTTAAAGATGTCAGAGCATCTTTTCATATATAGGTATAAGTGCCTCAGCTGAACAGATGCAAGGTTGAGACCTATAAAACTGCCATTTTTTATGATTAAATCATAAAAAATTGTTTTAAATATTTTACTCATAAACTAAAATGAAGTTGTCTTTAGAAAATGAAAGCATACCATGTCATACTGTATTTACAACCATTAGGAGCAATTGAATATGTTAAAAATAATGGATAAAAAAGCTAAATAAGCAATGGATGAAGGAAAACCGTTGTTGTTTCTTAGGGAAAGAGTTTTGTCCTTTCCCTGTGCCTGTGAAATTGTTTTGTGCAACTTGCTAGAGAAGAAGTACCACTAGATTTGAAATTTACTTTTAAATAAAGCTATTGTTAAAATTTAAAAATTAATAGCATTCAAAGCAAATTTGAATTTTTGTCTAGGAAATGCGGTTTCTATTTCTGATGGGTCTTGCATAATTTCTAATGTTGATAACAAGGTCATCAATCTATCATAGTAGATACAGATAATGTGCCTTTCAGCTTTCTGAAGGAGAATGGATGGTTAAAAAAATGTGACAAACAAATTAAGTTGTCCTTGTACATTACAGCTAATTTGCATTTTGTCTTATATTTCTGGGGTCATATCCAAATGCAGCTAATATTTACGAAATGAGAAATAAGATGACATTCCTTCCTATTTTCCCAATGTACATATTTGTATGAATAAAAAGTGTTATCCCAGAAGCATACTTTACATTTTCTGGGTTCTAATCACTAAACACCATGAATGAAAAATAGAACAAGATATTTTCAAAAGAAAAATTAGTAATTTCTTAAATATTTTCATTTTCTTAAATATTCATAATTTATTTGTTGAACAGCTTGGAGGAACTTATTGCAGCCAAACCAAACAAAACACCGATTCAGCTGTTGCTTGAATATGGCACAAAAGCTCGCCTTAATCCTGAATATGAATTTGAAAAAGCCGAGGGAGAAGTACATATGCCTGTTTTCACCTATAAAGTCACCATAGGTGACATCTTTGCCACAGGTTTGTGAAAGTGTTGTAATGTATTAAAATGCATTTCTTTGATTCGTTGCACGTAGTATTTGTTTCTTTGAAAAAGAAAGAAGTGTTTCTTCTGTTTATTGCCTCCACATAACTTGTGGCTCCCAGTGAGTCCAAAATAACAGATGCTACTGAATTTCAACCATGGAATTGGCCTTGCTGGCTGGAATTAGTAAAAGGTGTGCTTTAGCAAAATTTAGAGAGCCACATGTTGTGCACCCATGAAAGAGAATGGTTCAGGATTAGGGTATCAAAATGGTGGGGAAGGTGAGAATGCTTCAATGTTCATATGATGTTTATATTGTATCGGTTTTGCTTAAAAAATATAAGGTTACCATTCTCTTTGTTCTTAAGGAAGCCGATAATATTTATATGGGGTGTCAGGGAAATGGGTAGACCATAAATTTAGAGATGTTGGAGATAGGAATTGGATTTAGAGAAAATATGTCAGTATGGAGGAAAGCATGGATCTCACAGCATGGATATCTTTCCAAGGTCATGTCCCCCTAAAACGGTGAAAGGCAGTCATTTTAAAATTTAACAGAGTTTGATTTGGAGCAGTGTTTCTCAACCTTGGCAATTTGAAGCTGAGTGGACTTCAACTCCCAGAACTCCCTAGCCAGCCATGGCTGGCTAGGGAATTCTGGGAGTTGAAGTCCACAAGTTGCCATGGTTGAGACACTGGTTTAAAGGATGAATCCTGTCCTACTTTCTCAAGGGTGCATCCCATCACCACTATCTTCCAGGCAGCAGCTAATGCTGTGCAATAGAGGGGCATTCTTCCCCCCCCCTCATTTATATCCTTCCATTGTCTCTTTTTTATTATATATATATTTTTATTTTAAGGCAAACATACACAGACAATACATTAAAAAAAATCTTCCATTTTGTACATACAGTGTGTCAGTTGGTTTAAAATCTTTTGTCCGATCCTTTCATAATTGTTCACAATTTTTATCAATCTCACATTGTCAAACTAACATATGCTTATCTATTTATCAATTATTAATTATCTTGCTATTTATTCCATCAATATTATATTATGCTGTCATCCAATGGTTATATGTCTACATTATATTTTGTATCAGTCTATTGAACTTCTATAACAAAATTATCTATTCTGTTACCTTACCTTGTCTTTTTATCCAACCATTGATAAAACAAATCCCATCATATAAAATTGCTTTTCTTCTTGTTCTCTAATTTCAAATGTCTTTCCATTCTCTCTTCTTAGTCCAAATATTCCTCTTTTTTCCTCTTTCCATTCTGTCTCCTTTAATTCAATTTCAGAGCCCAAAGGGCCAAGGTTTTTTTCCTGATATCCTCTTGTCCTTCCTTAATCACTTTTGATGTCACCTTAACACTGATAAAACACTATATAGATACAAATTCTCTCTGTGTGTGGTTTTTTTTCCCCCCTGAGCCTTATTTATACTGCCAAATGTGATTGGCTATTTTGTTCCCCTGGGGAAAAAATAAATTGGTTATGTCGCTGTAGGATCAGGATAGTGAATTTACATTTTAATATTTTGAAAAATGAATTCATTTCAGTGCATGATGATTGCTGACTATAAGCGTCTCTATTTTCCTTTCCCAGACAAAATAGTAACATATAGTAATTGTTTGAAATTCAGATGTTGGTATCTTTATTGTTACTCTGCTTTGAACAGAGAAATATTTTTGTTTCTACTGCTTCAGGAGAGGGTCCCAGCAAAAAGATTGCAAAACAGAGAGCTGCTGAAGCTGCACTGAATATTTTGAAAAGCAATCCAAATATCTGGTGAGTTCAATGTTGAGCATTGTGATGCAAACCCATTGAGCAGGCCGTTAGTCAGTTCACCTGAATTAAAAGTGAGAATTGCCTATGGGGTCCATGGCTAGCCCTGTTTCACCCTCTCCATCCTGTTGATAGAAGAAGTTTATCAGGATGTCCTCACATTTTGATAAATAGTACTAGATATTCCTGAATAGGGAGGCTGGACAGTGTCACTTATTTTGAAAAAATATTGGAAGAAACAAAATATTATGTAATAGCATCTCACCTATCTCTGTTAGGAGTAAGATGATCCACTGAAATCTTTTCTGGCGTTTTAGATCTTGTTCAGAATTTTTTGTCACGTTTATGACTCTTTATCTTTTGAAAAGTTGATGAATTTTCATGAAAATCTGATTAGGCATGAATAGATGGGAATTTCATAATCACTGTGAAATTTATTTTCATAATTAGTATTGCCTGAGACCTGTAGTAAGCAATTATACTTTATCAAATATGCTTAGAAGATGATACCGGAGAATGAAAGGGAAAGAAAAAGGCATAGAAAGTTAAAGGTAATATTAAAGAGAATAGATATCCTTCCCCACCGACTTATGACTCCAACATTGCTTACTTCAGATCTACTTATTAAACTAGGAAAAAATGGGATAACAATTCATGTGAAAACTCAGTACATTTGGCATTGTGTGTATAATAGTACCAGAAATCATTTCTAAAGTTTCCATTTTAAGTTTACTATGTTCATTTTAGTATTTCTATGCCAGACCATATAATCCCTGAACCTCTCAATCAAGCACAGAATCAGACCAATCCGATTGGATCGTTGCAAGTGAGTTATAATTACCTTAACACTAATTTGTTATGTATGATCAAGGAATTCTGAATTACGGTTACAAATCAGGATTACAAAACTTTTCCGGGGGGGGGGGGGTCCTTTTTATTTTCTGATAGCAGACTAAGGCAGGTAGTCAGGAACAGGTTCCGTGAATGAGGAAAGAGACTGTTCCCATCACTCTCAGGAAAGAAAGCAATATAAAGCGAAGTTGGTGGTAACAAAATAGGCGGAAGAGCGGAAAAACATGAAACTACTGATACAGGTCGTCCTCAGTTTATGATCACAATTGGGACCAGTAAAGATGGTTGTTAAGTGAGTCACACCCAATTTGACCACCTTTTTTGCCATAGTTGTGAAGCGAATCACTGAAGTCGTTAAGCAAAATTGGTTTCCCCCATGGATTTTGCTTGTCAGAAATCATCTGGGAAGGTTGTAAATGATGATCTCATGACCTTGGCATGCTGCAACCATCATAAATACATTTCATTTCAATGTATGTTGATTAGTGTACATCTAAAGTGACACAATGAAGTTTTTATTCTATTCTGTTCTGTTCTGGTTGTCAAGTACCCAAATTTTGACCATGTCTATGGGGATGCTGGGATGGCCTAAGTGCAAGGATCAATTGTCAGGCATTTTTTAAGTGCCATTGTAACTTTGAATGGTTGCTAAGCAAATGGTTGTAAGTTGAGGACTACCATACATTAAAACAAAGATTTTTTACCAAAAACAGAAACAAAAAAGCTTTCTCTTTGAAGGATGATATAGAGACCTTTTCTTTGCCGATGGGTCTTCTGTAGAAACATAATAGAGCTGGAAGAAACCATGGAGGTCCAATCCCCTGCTCAAGCAGGAGACCCTATACCCATGATGGCACGCAGAGCCATTTGTGCGGGCACACTAGCCCCAGCCAAACTTACCTACACTGTGCATATGTGTGCCTCCCAGCTGATTTTTGGCCCATTTGAGGATGTTTTTGCCCTCCCGGGGGCTTGAGGGAAGCCTCTGCAACCTTTGGAGGCCAAAAAATGGGCCTGCCGGAAATGCCAAAACAGGCCTGTTCTTCAGCCTCCAAAGGCTGCAGAGGCTTCCCTCAAGCCCCCGGGAGGGCAAAAACGGCCTCAAATGGGCCAAAAATCAGCTGGGGGGTGCGCGAATGTGCAGTGTATGTAACGGGTGCGCGTGCATGCGTGGGGGGGCAGGGTGCATTGCATTGTGGGTGCTGCCATGCATGCCCCCGCGATTTTGGCACACTACAACACATAGGTTCGCCATCACTGCCCTATACCATTTCTTAGTAACTAAAAAAAAAAAAAAAAATTCTTGGAATTCCTGATCAAGAGGTGAAGCACAAGTGAGAGAAAACTGGTTGTATTTGAGTGAGGGTTGCAGACCCCTGGTGTAGATTGCTTCCCCAAATAACAGAGAAGTCTACTGTTTTAACCACTATGTTCAAAGTCAGTTAAACTGGGGTCTTTTTTTCCCTGAATGCCATCACTGCTAAAGAAATAATTCCCTCAACATTGTCAAACTATTTACTAAGTCTGCATTACTTTTACTATTAATCCTCCCATCCTTCCTTTTACCCATCTCGTCCCACTTATGACTGTATGACCATAACTTGTTGCTTGTCTCCTTACAATTTATATTGACTGTTTCCTAGTATGATTTGATTGCTTATTGTACCCTATGACTATCATTAGGTGTAGTTACCTTATGATTCTTGACTCTTGACGAATGTATCTTTTACGTACACTGAGAGCATAAACACCAAAACAAATTCCTTGTGTGTTCTTATTCCTATTCCTATTCCTATTGAACAGAGGATTTAGTGTAATTAATATTGTGGTTGGTTTCCTGTGCTGGATGAGGAAACCTCTGAAGTGCAGTGATTTTTTTTAAAAAAGGGTTTTCTTTGTGCTTTTTTTCCCCCTTCAAGGAACTGGCTATGAGAAAGGGTTGGAGATTACCTGAATATTTACTGGCCCAGGAGACTGGGCCACCTCATAAGAGAGAGTTTGCAATGACTTGCAGAATCGAGACGTTGGTAGAAACAGGTACATAATTTTTCAAACAACTTGATTAAAAATGATGAAGAATGGATTGTTTCTATTGTTTCAAACTTTCTCACGTTTATATAATTTTGCTTGATAAATGGCACTGTCAGATATTTCACTTGGAAGCCTGGTTATAAATGTTTTGAATTAAATGTACTTCTGGACACATAGCTGCACATACAATAAGTCAGGGAGAAATAGTGATATTTTTTTTGAGATCTACCAGGACTTTTTTATGCATAACAATGCCTGTACACTGGAAAGACTAAGGTCCCTTGTGGAATATCCTAATTCATAATTATTATTATTTTTGCAAAGGTAGATATTTTTTAAAAAAAAAACTAGTATACCCCTGATCTATAGAATTACTTCTGTGTTTTTGAACCTTGATCAATTACATGTTTTGAAGCTGGAAGAAGAGGGAGGTAGGGAAGAATTGCAGGCACATATTTCCTATTATATGAAATGCCACTGAGTAAAGAAAGTACAAATAAGTCTCCATATCTCCTCTTACTTAGAGGAAATTTAATTGGTTTAATAATTAAAATTGAGGCACTTTTTAAAATTACATTGGTCACGCTTCAGTACAATAGAACATCAAAACACTGGTATATGCCCTCTGAACATTGTAAACTGAATTCTTTTTTTTGTCTCTTTTTCTTTTTTGTATTTTGAAAGGCTATTTGCCAGAAATATCTGGCCAGTAAAAACCAGCAATACAATGGCTGCTTGAAAAAAGTAATTTAAAATTATAGTATGTTGATGGAAGGAAGATTTCATAACACTCCTCGAGAGCTTTTATTTGTGTTTATATTTAAGTCAGCAGTGCATGTCTTATTTTCCTGTCCCCTCTAATGTACTTAGTGCACAAAGCTTATACACCTCCTTCTGTCCATGCAAGGACTAATCAGATAGACAAGGTACCTATGTTTTATTTCTGTATATCCCACCAGAAATGATCAGGAATATAGCGAAGTTCTGCTTGATCACCGTTGTTCTTAGCAGATATTGGAGCTTATTACCATTTTGGTGAGAGATTATGCACAGCAGTTTAACATTCTGTCATTAATTCGCTTTGCTGTTTTTTTTATATGGTGCAGTATATTACTGTTTTTAATTGGTCTCTGTCCATAAAATTTGAGTAGAAATTAGGATTTGATGTGATTTATCTGTGTATTGGTACAATTCATCTGTTCAGAGTTTATTTCAAAATAGGGGCCTTTATCCTTGTAGCTTTTTAATATGGTTGAATGGATGCAGTCAACTAAGTCTTTATATTTTATCAGTTGCACTTGCTGCTCCTTTTCCTGTAGAGACTTTATTTTCAAATTGCAACCAAGTGGTCAGCCTGCTGTGATAAGGCAGGTTCAAATGAAGCCCCAGCCAAGTTAGCAAGCCTGGTTCAAACAAAGCAAGAAGCATCTCTCTCTTCCTTATATTCTTCCACACTATTCTGCACTCATCCATATAATGATTTGATGTATCAATACTGACAGTAGCTGGAAGGGATCTGAAAGGACAAGAGTTCGTGATTGATGCCTATTGCTAAAGTTATTAAGTGCCGACAAAATAGATACAAAGAGAATTTCAAATTTGTGGCTATAGAAAGGGATGTACATGCCCCAAATGTAAATCTATCTGGTTCTGGAATGTAATTGTTTAATGTAAACAATCCAAAATAGTTTTGTCTATTTCAATAATTTTACCTTTTGTTCATTATCTAGGTATGGGAACATCTAAAAAATTAGCAAAGCGAAATGCTGCTGAGAAATTACTTGAAAAGTTCCACAGTTTTTGTCAAGATAATATCACAATTTCTTTAGTAAGTAATTCATTAAATTTAATGGAAAGTACCTGCTTTACCATTGAACCTTATTAATGTCTTCTTCGTTCCTAATCATCATCATCTTCTGTCCCTATTTCTTATCTGTTCCTAATATGTATAATGATGACATTTTTATACAAAGTAGTTTGGGAATAACTTCCACTGATATCTATAATTTATTTCTGAGCAAGCAAGCATCGAGTTGAACCCTGCAGTTCCCTCCAAGCTAGGATTATTTGTAAATCAAGAGCAGGGATGTCAACTGGATTTCTTCGAGGGCCAGATCAGCAATGTAGTTCTTTTCTGTGGACCAGGGAGACGAAGGAGATGGGACATCCACCTCCTGCAGCACTCTGCTGGCCAAAAATGGGGAGGGGGGCTGCGCCCCATTTTGGCCGGCAGAGGCACCATGGGCTTGGTCCTTTAATATTTCCAGGCTGGCAAAACGGACCAGATCTAAGTACCCCGCGAGCCAGATCCAGCCCATGGGCCTTGAGTTTGCCACCCCTTATCAACAGGTGCAATTCTTTTCAGATGAAGGCTTCCTCCTGGCTTTTGATTGGCAGGCCAAGGACTGCACTACCAGTGGTAGGCAGTGTTAGGACATAAAAAGAGGTAATGGGCAGGAAAATACATTGGATTAAAATAAATCAAACACAAGTAGTATAGCCGTTATGTTTGTTACGACAATTTGGTGGCAATGTTTTGAGAGGATTGGAGGGATACAATCAGGTCTTCTGAGTTCTTTGAGTCATAGTCACTGGAACCCCATTATAAGCACTTGTGGGTCCTACTTTTTCCATTCTCTGACAGCTCCTTTCTTTGTTTGGCTTCACTACCCAAGAATTTTTTTATATGGGTGAATAGATGCAGTCAACAAAGTCTATATATCCTTCCAATAATTACTTAGGTAGCCAAATTATTACTCTGTATTAGCATTGAAGTCTCCCAGCTAATAAACATTGCCATACACTAAATAAATGAATACTAATTATGCTCACAGCTTCTTTTCATCTTCTCAACAGAGATGAGGGTTTTTATATAAATATTCTAATAAGCCTCACTTATCCATTTGGTATCCATGATGAATTGCATTACTATTTGGTAAAAATTACAATATATATTATTTTGACAGCAACAGAAGGCTTGATAAACTGCAGTTCTGTTCATGATCAAAAGTTCAAGAATGCTTGAAGCACTGGAGAAAGCAATGTCTTATCTTCAGGTGCTGGAAAAAATGGCTGTTATCTTTACAATAGGTCTTCACCAGCACTACCTAGTCTGGTGGAAATGCTCATTAAAACACAACTGGTTTTCACTTTGGCCTGTTTGTTCTTTGTTGCTTTTCTGAAAATGTAAGAAGTTTTATTTTCAATATTTTAAGTTTTTTAAATAGAATGTTAATAATACCTAATATTATTTATTAGTATATTGAGATTTGATTTGAAATAACACAGTACACCATGATTTACAATATTACAATAAAAGGAAAAGAAATGGGAAAATTTCAGCCAACACCACCACCACCCCCGGCCGCCCCATCTTTAGTGAGAATGGAACAAACCCAATTTTGGTGTCCAAAGTAATATTTTAGAAATACTATTATTATTTGTTTTTTTTAAAAGGACATTCTGCCATGTCATAAATTGTATGAGAATGCTTATTTCCTTCAAAAATTGTAGTGTATTGGACAACTGTTTGAGAAATGTTAAAATCAAAATTCTGGATTTCTTTATCTCTCATTATCCCAGGAAAAACAAGTTTAAAACAATGGTGGAAATGCACATTTAAAGTGGAAACATCTTTAAAAAGATGTAGGAATTTTTCTTAAGATTATTTTTTATTAGATTTGTATCTTATTTTCACTTTAGCTGTATCTCAGGATTAGAAATGCAGAATGTTCACCCATTAGCAAAACTGTCTCATTCAGGAAACGGACTGTGAAAAAAGGCTATTAACTGTTCTAATGGGGGTAAGCATGGTTACATTTTAATGTGGATCCAGTGTGAATTGGCTCATTTGCAAGGAACTTTTAACCTATCATTACTACGGAATCCATGTACAATTTTCCACAGGCTTAGCATCTTTTAAGTGGCCTGCCAGGGTCCCTATTACTGAAAGTTAAGAGTCTGCAGCCAGGATTAAAGATCAATTGGATATTATTTACATATATAATACTATTGCTTTCTGTTCATAAATTCTATTTAAATGAGTAACATTATTTAGAAGTCTCTGGAGGCTGCAAGTCATTTCTCTTGTGTCAACATAGACACAATAAAAGGATTGGCACATGAATGAAAATTATAATTATCATATTCAATAATAGCTTTGTCTAAATTCTCGATAAAAGTAGCCTTGACATTTGGTTAAATTTACTTAAAGGCAAGTTCCTAAAACATAAGCCTTGAAATATCTGTGCAGTTTTTAGGAAAATCCACCAAACCTATCAGTTTTAGTTTATCACCAAACTAATTAGGTGATTCCTCTGGTGTTGCTGCTACAGTTAACTTTCCTTGCACTAAATCAGCCTTTATCTTTCCCTCAATCTGCCATCAGCTGGAACTGATGATTAGTCCATAGTACCATGAGAAAACTGTAAGAACTGTTTGGATTGGCATCTTCTTAGAATTGTGCAGGGTTTTGAATTCAGTTCAGAAGGGGCACTACCAGGAATATGAATACAGCAGCGCCTTTCACCACTCATTAAAGCCGCACATCGGTCTCCAAGATCACATGCTGTGAAAACTTTCCATGATTAGCCTGATGATCCTAGAACATAATTTGGCTGTTTTAAAGAGTTACAGATAGGTGCTGTCATTGCACTTCCATGTTTTCTAATTAAAACACAAAAAGCATTACATCGTCGGTTCTCATCTCAATAATAAGGATTTTAAAAGTATTGATTACATGACTAAATACTAAGCAATATTAAAATGTGCAGCAAAATCTAAACCTTCTTCATTTGTTTCAGGGAAAAGAACAAATGCATAATTTGGGATGTACCTGGGATAGCTTAAGGAACTCTTCTGGCGAAAAAATTACTATGTTGAAGATAAGCTCCCTCAGTATTCCCAATACAGACTATATTCAGCTCCTTGGAGAAATTGCAGAGGAGCAAGGCTTTAATATAAAATATTTGAACATAGGTAAGACCTGGTGAACTATGTAGCATGCATCCTTCACTTTATATTTCCTCTCCCAACACTGCTAGGGCAGAAAAAGTAGTTCTAGGTGTTGTGTACTCTGAAATTATTTTTCAAAATTTGGCCTGAATACTTGTTCAAGCATGCCACAAGGAGAAAATTGGTTTCTATATTTTGGCTATATTTTTAAAGGCCTCAAACACTGTTCTGTAGCTAGTTTGAAGAACGTTGCATTAGTTAATGTTGGAGTTCAAGAAGGTCATCATGAGCAACGTGTATAGATAATAATGGGGTCTATCATTGCTAGCACAGGATAAAAAGGATTTGGAAACCTAACCCATAAGCTCCAAGAACGAACCTCCACCCTCATAAAAAGAATAGTTTTTACATCAGTCATCAGAATAAAGCAACATCTCTGATGTCTTGGTGATCTGTTCAGAACAATTTGGGAAGGAGAATTTAACAGTGTTTTTTTTTTTTTTTTTTTTGATAAAAGATGATGATTTTCTACTTATCACTGTTTGTGTCTGTAATTTCAGAGGAGTTGAGTGTGAATGGACAGTTCCAGAGCCTCGTAGAACTTTCAACCATTCCAATCATAGTTTGCCATGGGACTGGAATCTCCTGGAGCAACAGCCACAATGATTCAGCCCACAATGCATTACAGTATTTAAAAATTATGGCTGGGAGGAAATAACCTTGATACAGGGAAAAAGAATGAACATGGGGTACATATATATATTTCCAATTTCCAAATTATTGAGGCTTTTTTTAAAGTCACATCACAACCTCTGCATTCATAATTGTATATTATAAAGAAAATGTAACTTAAACCTATTATGATGTTTTTGTTTATTTATTTTGGAAAGCTAAAATCAGGAAAACCCAAAAGCCGTGAACAGGGCATGAGACACACCCTGCAACTCTATAGCGTTTGATGAATCTGAATTCTCAGTACCAAAATAGTTATTAGTCTGTCAGCGGCTGTTGCCTCCTTTCTCAGTATTGTTTTGTACAGGGATGGGGGGCTTGAGGCAAACCTACAGAAGAGTGCAGTGTGTTGAGAGAAGGAATATGTTTAAGAATGCTGTGCATTGGGAGCAGGAAGTCCAGCTCATTCTTCTGTTTATTTCTTACAGCATTAATATATTGCCTTATGAAACTGACTAGGTATCTCACGGTGAAACCACAAAGCAAAAACATAAACCATCAGTTCATCATAGTTTCATAACATCTTATTAAAAGTAGATTGAAATTGAAAAATCCAACTCTGCATAACTCTGCTAGTTTCTTAAAAAATCAGATTCACATCCATATCCATAAGGCAACCCAGCATGTAAATAATTCAATCCCTCCAAGCCCAGTGAAACAAAACAACTTCAGGCTTCGCCTGAAGAACAGTGGTGTGATCCTCCAGACTCCATTAGAAGATATCACCAAGCAAGGCCTGCCTCTCATCATTCCCTAGCACCCCATAACAGGCAAATTGGGACACCAACTGCCATTTCAATCAGCTGACATTTCTATTATTCCAAACCTACTGTACAGCCAAATTCAAATATCCAGCCCTCTCCCAATTTGACTCCCCTTACTGAATTTGTTAAGTCTCCCACTGTAGTCCTGCTTCCACATGCTATTCTGTGTCTGCATGGCAGCAGATAAGTTGTAATGTGTTATAGCGACAAAGGTGATAATAGTAATAATGTGCATCAACTGGAATTAAGGTGCCACATTTGTCACATTGATAGTGTCTTGCCATTTTCAGCATTCCCTCTTCTAGCCCTTTCCTTCCTCCAGTTCACATGTTCTGCCTTCTACTTTCTACACTTCTTTTGTATCTGTCACTTGATGTTCCACACAATTGAGTTTCACCAGCTTTCCCAATTCTCTGCTTTTCCATTCTGTTTGATTTACAAATACCTCCAATCACATCTCATTCCTCAACTCCTCAGGAACTCCCAGGATGAAAAACACCCATACCAAAAAAGATCCTTCCTCCAAAATGCCAAATATAAATCACTAGCTTGCAAAAATTGCCCAGCAGAATGGTAATATTTACCAATCACATTGAGCATTGTTCATCTATTCACTCATACATTTCATATATGCACCCGTTTTGCCTTACAGCAAACACATGGGATAATGTACACTAGCTCAAAACCACACAATGAATTTCGATGACTAAGGGTGGACCTGAATCCAAATCTCCTGAGTCCAGGTTTAGCACCCTAATCGCTGTATTATTGTCTTGTATGTCAATTTAGCTTTAACTCTTGTCATTCACGGAAATAATAAAAGTGATTTTAAAGATTTGCAGTGAAGTAGAAAATCTTGTTTCCATTCATTCTTTGTGATAGGCTTACAGGCCAGGTGAGGAACCATCATAATTTGTGTTTGGTGGTTGGGTTGTAGATCGGTCATGTCTCCTATTATACAGTTAAAGCAGATTACAATCACATTACAATCACATTACATGGAAAAAAAGAACAACATGAATTATGACCTAAAGATATATTTTACAGGATATTATGAAAAATTACCAACTTTTTAAAAAAATAATTGCATATTTCAGTAGCCAGGAGCATGGCTTCTGCAAACTTAACTCCCTTGAAGTTGCTTATGTAGGTTGGCATTTCTTTTAAGACTTCATGAACTTATGTCTCACTTGAACTTATGTAGCAGAAGGCTGAATTTTAGTCTCCATGAAAATGCCTACAGCTGGGACCTGAACAATTTGTTTTTCTAATGTCTGAAGCTTCAAAGAAATTACTATTGTAATTGTACATAATAGCCATTACATATTCACTTTTTTGTGTTTAAATTTCTTCTCAATTGTGGCCTTTTAAAACATGTTTTGAAGATTAATTTCACAGAAATGATAAAATTTGTTATCATTGTTCTTTTTTCATTAGATGTGTCATTCTTTAATAAATTGTTTGAAATGATACAAGTTGTTTTTGTTTGAGAAAAATACTCTATTGTTTCCTAAATATGTCCAATTAATAATGCAAGTAGAGCCATAACTTACATTGAATGTGCCTTGTTCAATACTAGATATGAATGCAGCTTGTAAACAACTGTATCTTTTATTTGTTGGGATTTTCAAAGTATTAATTGGTAGAATTCAGTACAATCAATGGCACGCATAATACAGTATGTCTTATTGAGTTTGTAAGTCACAAATATGTGCCATATCAATCATATTGAACGTAAATGAATATTTTCTAGTGTGAAAGAAAGAGATGCCCGTAAGGTCAAAATGAAATTGATCTGCTCACATAATAAATATGGTTCATTTTTAAGGAAATGAGGATGATTTTAAGAGTCATTCTTAAATGTCTTATAATAGTAGGAAGTGCAACATTTTACCCAGCAAATACAAACAATGGAAATGTGCCATTGCTACCAGTGATAAGAGAAAGGTTGTGTTCCACTTAAACTATTTATGTAAGCCAACAAATGAGATTTTGTTTGCAGCAGCATAGAAATGCTGTATGTTTTAAAGTGTGAATATCTATAATCCTCTGCTTGTGATATACAATGTGACCTGAGCTTCATCTAATCCTAAGAATGGATAAAAATGATTCTGGCTAAATAACTCCCAAAGCTTTGTCATTTTTTTAGGATGTTTGTTTAACCAGAACTGATTTAAGACTTGTTCCAATCACATTGTAAGACACGGTGTTACAAAATTATAGATGGCTATAAAGTGTTCACAAATTTGCTTAGCAAGGCATATGTGTTTGCTGTTCTCTAAAATACCTGAACAGGCAACAGTATTTAATTCCCAATCATTGAATACTATCAACATACTGTTCCACGATGAAATGGGAGAATCCTTAGAAAAAGTACAACTGGTCAGGCAGCTTTTTAATATCAACTGTTCCTTCTAGTACAGTAACTGGTTTACATAAACTATTTCATCTTTGAAAATTAGCCATATTTTTAATCAGCTGCCTGAGTGAATTCTTTGCAGCATCCCAACAGGTTAAATAAACATAGGCTCTAAAATCCCAACCGTATTATTTCCTTTGATCAAGTTGATGAAACTTAATTTGCTTTGTGTGAAAATTCTATAAATCACTGGTTATCACATGCTTCAGCATGCATTTATATATTTCAAAGTTTGTCCCCAGCTCCCAAGGAACTGGATACTGTATATTCCCAAACACATTTAATATAAATACAGATTTTACAATTGCAGAAAGAAACATGGTGCATTTGTTGATGCTATACTAATATATATGCTGTCTTTTGTGCACAGTTAAAAACAAATTAGCTAATTGTAACAGTATTTTTAATCTTTCAAATTTACAATGCTTTAAGGATGTACAAAATATTGTTCTTGTGGCTGCCATTCTTACATTTTTTGGCTCCAAAGAGGTACAAGTTTTGTGTGGAATATGAGCCTAACATTATATTCAGCAATTTCCAAGTATTTCTGAGGAATTAGCAAGCAGATTGACACTTAATAGGCTAGTCTATTAGAAACAATGGTCTTTTTATTCAATGACATTTTTTTATAAAGGTATACATGAGTTTTCTTATTCAAGACTGAGGATAAAGACCACAGAGTTCTGCAAAATGATCCTGTGCAAGTATCACAATGTTCAATCTTCGTATTTAGCTTCAACATTGGGTAGTGGGATAAAGACAATATTGAGTTTGGGTTGCTGAAAATAAGATTCAAATCTCTGTTCAGTCATAGGGTTCACTGCACAAGTTTGGAATCACTGCAATCTTTAGTGTAAGATTGCAGTCAAATTCCAACACTTAAAAATATTTTCTGAAACATCAAAGTGCCTTAAAAGTGCTGTGTGTTTATGGAGGCTAGTTTTCTCACAAATGATACTTTTGTCTGCATGCTATTTATCTGAAGACGCACACTTCTGATTAGTTAATAGTATAATATGGTGAGTCAAAGAAGGGAGTGGCAAAAATATATTTTGTCTTAGGAAATACTTTTGAAAATGAGTGGTGGGTTGTTGATACTTTAGGTCCCTAAACTTTCTTCCTAATACCAATCACTTCTTTAAATTACAGAAGACAACAGAGCAAAGCCATGATTTTATGGCACTAGAGTGGTGTAATTAAGGTCTAATTCCATTGCTTTCTACATCAATTTCTAATTGATACTCATTGCTGCTGCTTTCAACTGCAGTCTATTATTTGCCACACCAACTCACCATGACCAACTCACCACGGCCAACTTGCCATGGCCTACTTGCTGTGGGACAACTCGTCGCAGCTAACTCATTGTGGGAGAAGAGTTACACTAATACCAAAGGAATGGTGGAATAGAATAATTAAAGGATGAAAAAGGGTCAGAATGAAACATCAATGACAAAAATTAAAATATTTTTTAAATTTATTTCAAATAATTGAAATGTTAAACTGCCCCACAGTGAGGTGTCTTGTGGCGAGTTGGCCATGACAAGTTGCCCCATGGCAAATTGGCCACAGCAAGTTGGCTGTGGCGGAGTTGTCCCATTTCACGCTAGATGTGTCAGATCACAATATTATTATCTTGTACCAACATTATGCAGCCTGAATGGCTATAACTAGAGACAATTTGAGGGAGACTTGATAAATCTACTGGATTATCTTTAAGGGGAAAAAAGCAATTGATAAATCATGTCATAACACTGTTTCTTATTTGAATACCTATAATTTCAAAAAATATATGGAGCTCAATATTGTCTTTTAAAAATCCTGATAAATTAGGTAAGTCACAAAAAGAACTTTACAATATATATTATTTTATAGGGGAGCAATTCATTAATTTGGATGAAAACTTAATCCTGGGCATGGACAAAAGTCACATTCTGTTGAAATAGGAAAACACTTATTCATAATACATTGCTTGCATTAAAATTATTATATATTACAGAATTCCCGGTTGCAAAATTGGCACCATTCCAATCTCAGAAACACAGAGATGGCTGAGAAATTTTACTGAAATCTCATAGGGTTGACTTGGTAGACAGAATGTGGTTATTGTTCATTCTAATTGTATGTAGCATTAGCCCAGAACCAAAGTTCCTTTGGGCAACCACAATAATTATTTGTGAGCTGTGAAATACTTGGGAAGCCTGCAAAACATCATTTGATTTGATCAAGGACTGCACTTAAGTGTCCCTCCAAATCCTGACTTTATTTTCTACTGAACATCCTTTTTGGAACTGTTATATTTAAAGAGAAAAGCAGAGGAGAAGTAACAATAGTTAATAATGATAGTTCTGTGATAATTATTCAAGTATGTTTTGAGCCAATGTGCCCAAGTCTACATTCAGCCAATGCTGAGACTACATGCTAAGACTCAGCAGTGCATAGCAGAGATAGGGATGGGAGTGATTCCTGTTACACAACTGGGTATCTCGGTCTGCTTCTGGACTCTAAAAAGCCTCGTTCTTATCTGTTCCCAATCTACAAAGAATTCCCCAAATTTGCCATTATAATATGGATACTTTCAGAGGAATCATTGATTGGGACGGCTGGGAGAATAGATTGAGGGGAGAGAAGGCTTACAAAAAGCAAAGCGTATCAGGTAAGTCAGAATGGGCACTTGATTGTGACATAGCTTGATGCAGAAACTTCCAATGAGTAAGAAGTATTTTAAATGGAAGCATATCACATAAATTAGATGTTCTTGAGATTTCCTGAAGCTTGTTTGAAACAGAAGGATCGGTTAGAGAAGAGCTCCATTTTTCAATCTGGAAATTTAATAAAGAAAAATTTCCATCACATGAGTTCAATCCTTTGCAGAAATTCACATTCACATTCATCTTCTTAAGTTAATTCTACAATTTTTATTTTTAAATGAATATTTTATCTGATTTAAATGAACTCTGGCTAACAGGTTTTTTTTTCTTTTTGGAAGTTATTTCTTTTTAAGTTTTTCAAAATGGAAAATTTACCTATTACTGCTATCAAATTTTATAGGTTTAGATGAAATAAGTATAATGTATGCAGATGTGTGATGAATGAATGAACTAGTGTGATGAGTTTGCTCACGCTGTTGACATGAATTTATGGTAGGACTATACTGTCAATTATAGCTAAATATGACATACTTGCTCCAGATTTAATTTGGAACCTTACAAAAGCACATTTTTAAATAAATGCTACAGTGAAATGATTTCAAGAATATCCAGATTTTTAAGAAAATAATTCAAACTAGAGGTCTGATTGAGTTACTTTATCCCCAAAGTAGTTTAGACTCTTATACCTCACAGTGTCCTGCATTGAAAACTAAGAGAACCACTAAAGCAATCTTGCAAGAAAATTTGCAAGATTTACAAGGCAGTCTCTAGATTAGAGTTCTGTCTTGCATAGAATAATATGAATATGCTTGGAATAAACCTGGGTTTTTGTTGCATTTGTTGTATCTTTGGTCAAAATGGGCCCAAACTGCCTAGTCTTCCCCTCATCATTAGCAGCTACTGTTTCACATCTAAAACTAGTAACCTAACTTACATTTTAACTATCTTACTAAAAAGTGTGGTGTGAAACCTTTGCTTGACCAAAGCCATCATGGGCAGTAGAGATCAGTACTGGTGACACAGTGGTTAGAATGCAGTACTGCAGGCTACTTCTGCTGGCTGCCAGCAGATCAGCACTTCAATTCTCATTGGCTCAAGTTTGATTCAGCCTTCCATCCTTCAAAGGTCAATAAAACGAGGAACCAGACTGTTGGTGGCAATATGCTGACTCTGTAAACCACTTAGAGAGGTCTGTAAAGCACCGTGAAGCGCTATATAAGTCTAATTGCTATTGCTATGAGCCCAACTGGTGTTCATTATGGCATATGAAAGAGAGCAAATGGTAAAGAGCATTAATTAACAAATGAAATAAAAAACAATTTTATGTCCCTGAAAGGTGAAGGATGTAACAACTAGTCTGATCTTAGAGAATGGAATTGATGAAAACATGTATGGAAGTGAAAGTGAGGTTTAATTATGAAGGAAAGGGCTACAATATTAATTTGAAACTGACGTTATCTAGTTTGTTGAAGATGCATATGAATATAGGAATTCATAAGCTGATGAGAATTGCATCAGGGATAAATTTTGAGATAAAATGTGCAATATTCTGAAAAATTCAATCTGGGTGGGGGGAGATTACTGTTAAAAGATATCAGCGAACAGAAAGAAGACAAGAGTACAGAAAACATGAGTAGGCCACATGGAAAATGAATAAAAAGCATAACTTTACCAGTATAAGTCTCTTATTCTTCACACATAAAGTATGGTTCACTTGATTTTTTTAAATGAAAAACTGAATTATTGAAAGTACAAGAGTGAAAAGTTCAGAAGTTAGTTGCCAAATCATTGCTGGTAGTCTCAAAAATGGATCTTAAGAAAAAAAAATAGACATGGAAGAAATGAAAAAAATAATAGAGAAAATGTGCCCTGTATAGGTAAAACTGAAAACAAAGAAATCTCCCAATAATCTAAACAGAGAGTAGACTTGGGGAAAAAAGTATGTGTAAGCTAACTTAAAATAGTGGAAAAAATTATTTTACAGAATGTCACTCAGGCTTGTGGACATATACTAAAGGAAAGTACTAAAGTACTAAAAATGAATTAACTCCAAAGTCAGTAAATGAGCAATACACAGGCAAGAGAATCATGATGAGTAAAATATATAACATACATGTAGAGAAAAAATTGCAAAGAATGCAGTCAAAGACAACAGGGAGCTGTTTAAACACAGGAAAGAAAATGCAGAGCAATTGGGATGGAAACAAATAATTGTTAAATAACTATCAACATATCTGTAGAACGAATTAGGACTGATAGGCAGTGATCTCTAGAGAACGAATGAAGACCGAACTGTAAAACCAACATATGAAGGAAAAGTAAATGGATTCAGATGAAGTGGATAATGAAGGAAAACCATGATTGAATGAGCTAATAAAACTCTCAAGAACTTATAGGTGAGAAGATTTAGAAACAAAGGCAACCTCTGAAATGGAGTACCAATGTGTTCAAAGCAAGGATACAAAAGGACAGTTATAGTGAATTTTATGGGTATAAATGTAGCTATCTTCATATGCTCCTAATTTCATGTCTTATGGTTTGCTTACTAATTCTCATTCCTTTTTCACATTTTGCATTCACCTGAAAAGAAATGACTTGGACATACAGATGAATTACAATTGTCCCAAAGGGGAAAAGCTGTAGTCCCGTAGATTTAAATCAATCTTGTTACATGAATACAAGTAAGCATTTGAAGTTTAGTCACTTAGTTTAATGGCTGGGTTCACAGAACAGACTCAGGTGGCTAGCTAAATGGACTGATTATCCAGGTATGTACAATATAGAGAGCCATTTTGATCTGGTGGGTTAAGGCACCAAGTTAGAAAGCAGGACACTGTAAATTCTACTCCTGCCTTAGCCATAAAGCTAGCTGGGTGACCTTCAATGATTCGCTCTCTCTCAGGTCAATCCACCTCAGTTTGTTTGTGGGAAAAATAGGAGGAGGAAGATATGTGGGATGTTTTTACTGCCTTGAGTTATTTGTAAAAATAATAAAGGTGGGATAGAAATAAATAATAAATTTTAAAAAGTTATAAATTAACCAAATGGCCTACCTTCAAATAACATGCTAGTCAAGCTTAAAACTAATCAACTTTATGTTATTTGGGGGGCAGCATGTCAAAGTTAGCTTGATTTATAACTGATCTTGGTAAGCATCTGATCTCGACATTTTACTAAATCATAATATTTGTTAATATTTATAATGTTTTAATTAATAATTCAGGCTTTGAAGAGACAATAACAAATTCCTGGGAGGTTACTGAAGACTGAATGTAAAAGACAGAATGGTAAGACATTCTTTCTTCCTATTTTTACCAAGATTGACTAAACTATAACTTGTAAGGATTACTACATTAACAAAATCCCCAATGTGACAGTGGCATGCTGGCAGCTCCTGTTGTATAAGGACCATGTAAGAGTCCATGCATATTTTATCCTGTGCATTCTAATTCTTTTTCAATTTGAATGAAATGTGCATATCAGCAAACAAAACATTCTCCTTCTGTACTTCAGAAGCTTGTACTTAGAATATCGTGCATATTTTAAGCCTTGGTCAAATACAAGTGATCTCAAGTTACAACTGAAATTCAGAGCGAAATCGCAGCCAGATAATAAACGTCTAGCTAATATAGTACATCCCAACTGGAAGTAACTTCAGAAAGTTAAGGCCATATTTTTAAACAGGCTGTCCCTTATACAGGTGTGCTTACTGAGCAGAAATGGACATGGGGGAAATAAGATGAGTAATACATAGAATGCATAATCAAATACAGTTAGTTTGCTTTCAGGAAATCATAGCCACCTCTGTGCCTTTAGAGAAAAGCAATAAAATGAACTCAATAAAATACAGTTATGTGCCATGAATATACAGAAATGTTATTTTTGAAATATATACAAGAAAATCTTTTCTATTGCCAGTGGCTAAGGTATTAATAAATTAAATCACTGGACATAAATGAAAGACAAGTTTCTATTAAAAACATTAAGATTTTTACCTTACATATTGATTTTAGCAAAGCATGATAACCAACTAGACTTAATTTTGAGGGTGACATCATTCAGGTTCTTTCCACATATACATCAACATGTGCTACATAATAGCCATTTAGGTCATTTCTCCATCCAAAAATATAATTGCTTTATGAAAAAGCAATAAAATATAATTTTGCATAAAAATGATATTAGCAAGATTCAACTGAGAAAGTAGTGCATGTATCACATTACTTCTCCCAACAATTCCCAAAGAGGTGAGAACAAAAATATATAATGCACATAATAAAGCATGAATACATAGGTTATCAGGATGATTATACCTCTGCAGGATGCTTTTCTAATTTAAAAGATGTGCTTAGCATTCATGCACAGTTTTAGGGAATTTTAATTCTATAAAGGGTTATGAAAATGAGACAGAGGAAATATAAGAAGTCATGAAAAGAGATGGTATATTTATCACAGCATTAGGCATTGAGAATATGAACTTAGATTAACTTTCCAAGATCATTACAAAATTAGCCAGTTTCCTTTCAACCTGCCTATATAGAACCACAACCTGCTAAGATAAAATATTCTCAGATCATCCTTTTGCTTTACACTTACAGTTCATTTTCCATAAATAATACACTTTATCCATTATTTAAAATATGAACAAAAATCCTGGTGTTTAAAAATCTGCCCTTAAGAAATGACAAATAAATACATATTTTAAAATAACAACGTACAACTTGACATTGTTTTTAAGGCATGAAAAATGGCATATGAATGGGAAGAGCTTCTAGAAAAGCATTATGTTGTTTTTGATATGGCCAGTCCAAGCACAACACACCAAAAAAACCAACCTGACTCTAAAATGAACAAGTGTTCTAATGTGAATCAAGATTCACATGTGTAGACATTCTAGAACTTAAGTTATAACAAGATTTGTTTTATTGTTGAACTCTTCTTGTCTATTTAAAGCACCAGATACTCTACAAAGCATCTTTGGCCAAATCAGTACATGCTTCTTTTATGCTGCACTTCCAGTATCTCAATAAATAAAGGGGTTGTGGGCATTTTCCTCCCCTCTTTTCAATGTAAATGATCACAGAAATGTTCAGTCTGGGCTAATGCACTTTTGGAAGTCTATTATAAATTGAATGTAAAAGCAAAGGAAGGTTTTCTGCAGACCCACAAATCACCCTCGGCTATAAGAAACATGATGTGCATAGTGGTATCTTTGTTTTTCTTTTTTAAGAGTTAGATCTACAAATGTTGCTAGATCTACATTCTCAGTTTACCAGAGTTTGAGTGTTTCTACTTTATTAAAGCCAGGATCCTTTCGGAGTTCCCAATAGGTGTCATTAGAAACCCACGCTTCTCTCTGATTTGCTTCAATAACTTTTCTGCAAAATTAAGAGAGTTATTGGTTAACATAAATTCAGAAATATTCTTTAAGAGAATAGACACATACTTCAATTTAATTTACTTGTTGAGGAAATCTTCTGAAAAATGAAATTGCAATAAAATAATCCATTTTATTTAATCATAAATCAACAATAACAAAAAGAAGAAAATCACAATTAATTAGGATAAAATAGAAAAAAATAATTGTTCTAAAATATCTAAGAAGGATTAGAAGAGATATTATGGTGTACTGTACAAACTGTAGAATGGTACTTAGCTGTGGTCAAAGATGTCAAATCACATTGACCTAATAATAACAAGATAAAACAAGTCAGAACGAATAGGGTATTTAGTAAAGAATGGAAATAATAATTCTTGGTGAATGTCTGGGTATCATGTTCCAGCATTTCAATTATTTCTCCACCATGTGGATACATCTCTGTTCGAAAGGAACTTTCAGCATGTTGCTTCAGTAACTGCTGTTTGTGCAGGCACTGAATCTAGCAAAGGATAAAGCCCTCCTAAATTTTGGAATCATTATGCAACTAAGGTATTTGGTTGATTGAAGAAGATATGTGGAGTGGCTCAAAATGTTGTTTCTAGACAGAACTGATAAATCCGTCTACAACTCTAAATCAATGGCCCATTGTTTGAGATCAGCTAATGCACAATCATTTTAAGTAGGCTGGCTTTTCTGTGAAGCACACGTTTGGCACACAATGATTTGAACTCTTCCAAGACAAAGGAATGCCCTTTAAGGCGCAACTAAACTCCTAAAAGTTGCCGGGCTTGGACGTTAGCTGAAGAGATTTTAATTGCTGCTGATATATATGGAGATCCTTTGGAGAAATAGAAAAAAGTATAAAGCCAAAGTGGATTTCTGTGCATTTAGGGTAACATGTGTGAAATTAGGTGTGAAATTTATGGTTACCTGTAGCATGGAAAATAATCCCTAGATATTTAACACCTAGTCTGTTAAATAATGATTTAGCTGCCAAATATGTGCCTTAGCAAAAATCATGACCCTGATTCTGGAGTAATTAATTTCTAACTGTTCTTCTTCACAGTGCCCACCAAATATATAAAGTGCCTGTTTCAGGCCAATCTGTGTCTAGATCTTGTTTTCTTGCAGATGTTTCATTACCCAAACTAGGTATCATCATCAGTGGTCCTTAGATAATCTATGCCTAAGGAAAAAGTGCAGCAGCATCTGCATATAAAAGAAATGTGTCTATTTCCCAATTTTGGCAGATCAAGAGATGGGCTATTTAATCTGTCTATAAGAGAATTAATGACTGGCTTTCTCTGAAGCCTGTTTGCTCATCAGACAAGATATTCTTAGTTACAATCCAATCCAGGAGCTTGTTGTACAAGTGCTAGCATATAATTTACTAATTGGCTACTGTGTCAATAATCTCTATTTATCTTTTTTTGTAGATTAAAGTCACTAAAGGTAGGCCCCAATCATCAGAGACCTTAGCATATTTATCAATATTGGTGAATAGGAAAGCCAAAATGGGAACCCACCAAATGTTTTGAATGTCCTCCACTAAAAATGAACATATTCTGAAGCTTTGTTCAATTTCAGCTATTTAATCAGTTTTATAATCGGGGTGGGGGGTTGGGGAGAAAAATCTTTCACTCAACTAATTCAAGTTCTTCAGCCAATTTCTCTACTCCTCCATCTGGTGTTAACAGGAACAATCATTCTTCTAACCAACCCTGTTTTGATAGCAAATGCCATACAGCCAAGAAACAACTAATTTCCTGCTTTAAAGAAGATAAAAAAAGATCCTCTTTCTTATTCAACCCAGGATGAGTTGCTGCTCTACTTTGCTGCTCTTTAAGAGGAAACATAAACATATTATTTATTATATGCCTATAATAGCAAGCATATATATTATGCCTGTTATTATAGGCAAAGAAGAAATAGACTTTGAGAGAGTTTTGGAATCAACTCTCATTATAAGACTTCAGCTCTATCTGGAAATGCATAACTCTTTAATCTGCTTCCTCTAATTTACAAATTTTGTCTTTTATACCTGCTTCAGTCTGGGGACACCACTTCATATTGTTGTATACACAGAAGGAATTACTCCATCCGAAGAGGGATTAGACTATAAATAAAATAATTATTTGGCAGAGAAGGAGAAAAGAGATTGAATTTTACTCTTAGGTATTTGGCAGATGTTTGTTTTTCTAACTCTACAAGGTTACATAAAAGGGAGGAACTGCACATACACTTGTTTGCTTGGACAAATCTCTTTATCTAGCTAGGGGAAAATTTATGAAAGATAGTGCATGCATAAAATACCAATCTGAAGATCAAACATTAATGTTAGATCTCTGAATTTCAAAAATAATGCAATAACTACATATTACAAAACTGATTTCTCATCTAATCAAGATTCACAAAAATCATCATCTTTGATTCAGATTTATCTGAGGAATAAGACCCTAGACTACAACCAATTTTCCCCCTATGTTTTGACATTTTTGAAAATAATTCAGTTGTACAATAAGAAACATGCAGATGTTACATAATGCGAGACAATTTCTAATGTTAAAAACATTATTAGTATTTTTGTTAATATTGTTACACCATTATATATACTAACCCCATTCTGTTTGTACAAGAATCACAGAGAGAGAGATTACTTACTTAAAATATTTTGGTACATGTTCCATATTGTTTTCCTCTAAATAACGTCTCCGGCATCTCTGCAATTCTTCAATTCTTTGTTTTTCTGCTGCTGCTGTTTCTAAATTTCCATCTTCCAAATGCCTATAGTTAAGAATTAGGTCTTTCAGTAGATACATAGCAACCTTTAAAAAATCTAACAACAAAATCCAGAAACCCCAAACTTCAAGAAGCATTTATATCATGTTCTATATTATGCAGGTTAGATAAAATTGATAGTATATTACAAAAAGTATTTATGAAGTGGGAGGGGGAAAAATAGGAAGGGTGATCTGTGTCTGCTGCTCTTTTTATAAGTTCACATATTAAAATATTTTAAATACTTCTCAAACTGCCTGGAGCAAGCTTTCACTGAGCAGCAGTGATTCACATTTCAGATGAATTTTTTTAGCATTAATGTTCCTTATAATATTTAATCAAAAGCAGCGGTAGCATTTTTTTTTTTAAAAAAAAAGTATACTTCTTGCCTTTGATCTGGCCTGAATCGAGCATCTGTTTTTGGAAGAAGGTCTTTCAGTGCAGGATCTAACTCATTTAGCTCAATAGCAAACCTTGTGAAACCATAATAATGCTCATAATTTGTTGGCATGGAACCTATATTAAAAATTAAAATAAAGGTAGTGATTAACCACTGTGAATAAACAATAGGTCTACATGATAAAGAAAATATTGTACCTTGATCTTCATTAAACACCCTATATGCAGCACTGTCAATTCCCAAAACTTTTTAAACCATGGTTTTATGTGCAGACATTATTCTTCCTGTTATTGAGAATATATGGGAGATGGTTCACTCCTCAAGTTGTTGACAAAATATGCTCTGCTTGGCTAAGACCCCCATATGCTCTCCCAAACCTTGTCCCACAAAATCCACATTTCATGGTCTGACACAATCACTTCATGATTTTCTGTGCAAGGAGAAAGAAATTACTTCAGGAAGAAAGATCAACCCCTAACGATTCCAGAGAAGGTGGATACTTAGGGCTTTAATGGTCTTACAGATATTACTGAATGTTGGCCCTCTACATCACTGAGGCACAGCATGGGCATTCATATTATGTTTTATGCACAAGAAGCAATGGATAGAAACTAATCAAGGAAAGAACCAACCTATAACTTAGGAGAAATTTCCTGACGGAACAATTAACCAGTGGAATGGCTTGCCTCCAAAAGTTGTGGATGCTAAAACACTGGAGGTTTTTAAGAAGAGATTGGATAACCATTTGTCTGAAAAGGTATAGGATCTCCTCCTTGGTTAGGGGATTGGACTGGAGGACATCCAAGGTCCCTTCCAACTCTGTTATTTTATTTTTCATTTAACTTATATATTTTTTATATTACTGAATCAGGTTGAATCATGGGTGTGTTACAAGTAGATAAAACCAGAATGCAACATTACAAAAGCAAGGCCTTATGAAAATTGTCAGTTTTGGCAGTTTTCTGAAAAGATCCCAACAACGCCATTTTGTGAAAAACACTGCTTTGAGTTCCCATTCTGTCACTTAATATATGAGTCTAGGCCAGATGGATGCATATCAATTTAATAAATTAATATGTGCAGAACTCTTAGCATCCTGGCTTGGGATCAACATACAGGATGAGCCAATTTTATGAAAGGAAGCAGTTCTGAATAGTCCTTTTATGTAACCTTCTGTTGCATCCAACAACCTGGTAGCTGCTGCTTGAAACTGACTAGAACTTAATCAATTTCACACTAAAGGTTTTGTTGTCATAAATGCCCACGTTGATCATAAAATGAATTTTTATTACCATTAATTACAGTCATATTTGCAAATGGTTGCTATCCAAGGCAGTTGCTAAATGAGGACTCACTGTATTGTGGGATACCTTGAAACATTATCCCAGATTTAAAAAGTTAAAGATAATTCAAAGTCTCAACCAGTTCTCATATCATTTTTGTTAAATCACAAAATCAGCATATAAATTATAGGAGAACTAGGAACTGCCTCGTAGCTACTAATTTTGGAAAATTAGAAAAACACAAGATTTAGTTCAGAAGGTACAACTTGTATCCTTAATCAAAGAATCCCATTTCCCCCCATCAGTAGAAATACTGCATGAAACCCACATTATTTCTACTTTCTCTTCCAATGTTCTTTTTTTTTTTTTAACATTCGGTTTCACAAAATTCATCATTCAAATATGGGAAAAAACTGATTGTAATTTTGTCCTTACCAATAAATCCAATTGACTAAATAAGTGATTGTTACCTTTTTCAAAGGAACTACTCCTTTTTTTTCTGTTCAGCTTGAAGAATATCAAAAATGTATATACTCTCTCTCTCTGTGTGTGTGTGTGTGTGTGTGTGTGTGTGTGTGTGTATGTCTCTCCACCTTCAATGAACAGTAAGAATGTTGGTATGTACACACACACACACACACACACAGAGTATATATAATACTGAAAAATGCACATTCATTTTAATGGCAACAGTGGCATTAAACATTTTGCCACCATCAAAATATTACATCTCTCTTCATTCAACACATGCCATTTAACAACTTATAGTATTTTTGCATTATTCCTGCTTGATCTTAGAACCTATTATGGAACACACACAGCCTTCTAAATAAGCTGAGTTTGATTTAGATTTCATCATGGAAAGATACAATTATTAAAGGACAGCAATGACTTACACTTACAGTTTCTAAGCTACAATTAATGTTCCAAGCTATCATATCTAGTACACTGAGATGAAATCCTGGCGTCTATAGTACAAATTCTACTCCTTTCTTTATTACTTTTTTAGTTATATTTAGAATTATATAAATGTCATGTATTACCAGGCCTCCATATACATTTTGCTGAAGGTGCAATTCCACAATATAATCCTTCATGCCATTTTCCAAAAAGGCGATGCACTACTTTTCCTTCTTGGTCCATGACAACACCTTGAACTTCGTTTACATTAGAATTCCAGTAGTTCACCTAAAAACGTTAAAACCGAATAGTTTGGTTTTATGAAATGTAAACAAATCATCTATTATCAAGTCTCTCTGCCTTCAATTAACAGCAAGAATGCAATCCCCATTCCTTACTAAGAGCCTTCAATAACTGCTGATTCTTCACATGCAATCCCATGAGAAAAAAAATGTAATCTTATTTATGACACAACACACTATATATGTGAGTGCTCTGAATTATGGCAGACTTCTAATTTAAAGGGGGATTGTAATACGAAGGTCTGCTTCCACAGGCTACTCAAATTATGTATAGGATCATAAAAAGGTAATTGCTCAGATAATAGAACAGCCTGTGAAAGCAAGATTATTTTATATCCTACTCAAAAGTACTTTAGCCTTCTTGACAAGTGAAAGTATTTTTAGGGCAGATTTCTTCCTTCTAAAATACACTGCTCAAAAAAATAAAGGGAACACAAAAATAAGACATCCTAGATCTGAATGAATGAAATATTCTCATTAAATACTTTCTTCATTACATAGTTTAATGTGCTAACAACAAAATCACACAAAAATTATCAATGGAAATCAAATTTAGCAACCCATGGAGGTCTGGATTTGGAGTTACACTCAAAATTAAAGTGGAAAAAAACATTACAGGCTGATCCAACTTTGATGTAATGTCCTTAAAACAAGTCAAAATGAGGCTCAGTAGTGTGTGGCCTCCAAGTGCCTGTATGATCTCCCTACAATGCCTGGGCATGCTCCTAATGAGGTGGTGGATGGTCTCCTGAGGGATCTCCTCCCACACCTGGACTAAAGCATCCCCCAACTCCTGGACAATCTGTGGTACAACGTGACGTTGGTGGATGAAGTGAGATATGATGTCCCAGATGTGCTCAATTGGATTCAGGTCTGGGGAATGGGTGGGCCAGTCCATAGTATCAATGCCTTCATCTTGCAGGAACTGCTGACACACTCCAGCCACATGAGGTGTAGCATTGTCTTGCATTAGGAGGAACCCAGGGCCAACCGCACCAGCATATGGTCTCACAAGGGGTCTGAGGATCTTATCTCGGTACCTAATGGCAGTCAGGCTACATCTGGCGAGCACATGGAGGGCTATGCGGCCCACTAAAGAAATGCCACCCCACACCATTACTGACCCACTGCCAAACCGGTCATGCTGGAAGATGTTGCAGGCAGCAGAACATTCTTTACGGGTCTCCAGACCCTGTCACGTCTGTCACATGTGCTCAGTGTGAACCTGCTTTCGTCTGTGAAGAACACAGGGCGCCAGTGGCAAATTTGCCAATCTTGGTGTTCTCTGGCAATGCCAAACGTCCTGCACGGTGTTGGGCTGTAAGCACAACCCCCACCTGTGGACGTCGGGCCCTCATACCACCCTCATGGAGTCTGTTTCTGACCGTTTGAGCAGCCACATGCACATCTGTGGCCCGCTGGAGGTCATTTTGCAGGGCTCTGGCAGTGCTCCTTCTGTCTCTCCTTGCACAAAGGCGGAGGTAGCAGTCCTGATGCTGGGTTGTTGCCCTCCTACGGCCTCCTCCACGTCTCCTGATGTACTGGCCTGTCTCCTGGTAGCACCTCCATGCTCTGGACACCAAGCTGACAGACACAGCAAACCTTCTTGCCACAGCTCGCATTGATGTGCCATCCTGGATGAGCTGCACTACCTGAGCCACTTGTGTGGGTTGTAGACTCCCTCTCATGCTACCACTAGAGTGAAAGCACCACCAGCATTCAAAAATGACCAAACCATCAACCAGAAAGCATAGGAACTGAGAAGTGGTCTGTGGTCACCACCTGCAGAACCACTCCTTTATTGGGGATGTCTTGCTAACTGCCTATGCTTTCCACCTGTTGTCTATTCCATTTGCACAACAGCACGGGAAATTGATTGTCAATCAGTGTTGCTACCTAAGTGGACAGTTTGATTTCACAGAAGTGTGATTGACTTGGAGTTACATTGTGTTGTTTAAGTGTTCCCTTTATTTTTTTGAGCAGTGTATAATGGAAACAGTTCACCAGGACTTTTTCCTATGCAAACTATAACCATATTTTTATGTATATATCTTCATTATTTATATAGTTGCCATTCTCAGAGAATGCAATGCAATGAAAGGTACTCGGGCAAGACTTTGCAATATAAAAATTCCCAGTACCCTCTTCCTGTCAGAACATATTTTATGTTTCTCACCCAGAAGAGTCACAGAGAAAAGGGCAGGCTCTCTTGGATTTTTTAAGTATGTTACAAAATACATTTTATAGGCAAACAAATGGTACTTTTGTATAAGCTAGAGGCCCTCATTTTGCCAGCATCACTCCTTTTAGAGAATGCAAAATACCAGAGGTCTAAGAGAGAAGGAACACATTATGGAACACCATGATATGTTCCATAATCAGGCCCATTACCATACGTTCATAAGGATCATCGGTTTCAGCAGCTTTGTCCAAAAGTTCACTATATTCCAGTTCCTCGCAAAGGTGTTGCAAAGTATTCAAAGGCTCATTGAGCTCTACAGGCATTGATACTTTGGAAAGATCCTTCCCAATATTATTTCTCAAAATGTTCCACAGATTAATATTACTAGTATCAGGGGAGGGTGTTGGAAGACATGTCCTTCGTCCATTTCTGAAAGCACCTCCTGTTAGCTCACCATTCATTACTAAAAGAGAAATAGAACAGAATGATCATGAAACCTATACAATGTGCTGATATACACATATATACATATAGTGGATATATGTTTGTATGCATGTGCGGGGGGGGGGTGTATGCATATATATGGCATGATATTACATAAAACTATAGATAGTTCTCAAAGTTACTGATTCATTTAGTGACTTTTCAAAGTTACAAGAGTGCTAAAAAAAACAGCTTAACATTCAGTTCTCGCATTTATGACTTTAGTAGAAACTCTGTTAATTTTAACTTGCTGATTTAGCCCATACTAAGATGCCCCCAAAGAGAAAGATAAAAGCTGAAGCAAAGGAAAACTGAAGCAAAATCATACGCATGCCTGCAGTCCCGCCATTTTCACTTCATAACTGCTTTGCTTAACAAGCAAGTCATAGATTACAACTGCACTAGGACTATCTGTACTTTGAATTTTAATTATCTTACAATTTATATTACTATCTTACATTAGTCTACAAGCAAGCTTGTAGCCTAGAGTAAGGAATCTCCTTATTTGAGGCCACAATTTCTTAGCGTTTTAAAAGTCAGCTAACCAAATGTACCACTAAATCATGTTGCCTCCTGACGTCATGGATTCAGAAAATAAACTGTAGGGTTAGTACCATTTTTTTTAACCTGTTACAACAAATGAGGCATAGTCCTGCTTTGAATCTGAGTATCACTACACCTGACTAAATCCTGAGTGTCTGGCAAAAATGTTAAAAAAAAGATATTTAAAATCAATTTAAAGGAAAACTGATTAAGAATGATCCCAAATGAAGCTTTTATTGTGCACAGAATTTTACAAGGCATCCAGGTGTCATTATTTTCTTTATAAAACCACACAATGCCTGACCATGGCTTTACCTAGATTTTTCTTTGCTTTGTCATGTGTACATAACAAATTGTTAAGAAACAAGATGGAATAAGCTGCTTACCTTGAAATATTCAAACAGCAAAATAAGTCGCCAGGGTACATATTTGCTTAATCTTTCATTCCTTGCCTTTTTACCACCTTAGTTTTTTTTTTCCTTCGTAACTTCCTCGACAGATGGAATTACCTATGCACTAATTCCCACTTTTGCTTTTCTATTCCCATTAATTTATTTTCCAAACAGATTTTCCTACCCTTTTAATTATTATTTTTTTAAAAGGCAATCTCTTTTTAAAAGGATTTTTGTTAATGTTGCTGTACCTTTGCATATAATTCAATTAACTACTTGCTGACAGATGAGTTTCAGAAAAAAGGAATGACAAAAGAGGGAGGATGGTGTATTTTTTCCCCAGGCCCATTTTCTGTAAAATAATTGGAAAAATAAAAATGTTTTGGTAATACCTTAAAAAAATCTAATTATATCTTTTCAAATAGTGAATGCAATAAGAGAAGTTTTTCACATATTGCTATTGTTTATTTCCCCAAAGTTTTTTTTTGTAATTAGAATTTTTTTTTCAAATAGCAGAGTATTAAACTTCTTATACACAGAGTACAGCTTTCAAATATGAATACAAAATACATTTCAGCCACTAACGGACACTGTCATTTTCATAAAAAAGAAGGATTTGATACTGGATTTACTTGTGAGCTTGTCTATTGCTGAATTTTTACCTCGAGGTCAGACATGCTTTTGACTAGGTCTCAAAGGATAGAATTCTATTATCATGTCAATCATTTCTTCGGTCTTCAACTTTATTTTTTTCAGTGTGGCAAAATTAAGGCCTTAGATTTCCAGGGAATAATTGCTGAACTGAAGATGGTTCCACAAAATGAAGAGCCAATGATCGCACCAGAATGAAGAGCTGGTGAATAGATCAACATTTCATAATTTCTCTCCAGATAAGGAAGAGAGGACTTGAGATTGCTATGTGTGCTCCAGGCAGTTGCTCCTCATGAGACCACCTCAAAACAGTGGTTTCCAACAGATTTAGCAATTTGGGGGTGGGTGGGTTCTTATTCAAACCATGGTTGGTATCTTCAAAAAGGACACTGGGTACTTCCTTTTCTAATCACTTTAAGAAACTATTAAATTGTTAACTTCCTTTCATCTATTAGGAACATTTGGATTGACGTTTTACAGCACCAGGTAATTTCCTTCAATCTTTAGCAAAATAGAGTTTTAAATGTAACATTAATGACTTAAAAAATTATTTCTGAAACAGTAAAAGAGTAATTAAAACTTTGAATTTTTAAACATTTTTTTATTAAAGTTTTAAAACACAAAGATAAAAAATTAATACAAACTAACAAAAATGTAACAGTAAAAAAGAAAAATGCAAAACATTAAATAGATATATATGGTTATACATACATATATATCTTCCACATATAAATATTAAAAAACATTATAGATATATTAAAGTGTGTGTGTGTGTATGTATGTGTGTGGGAATGAAAAAGACTTGCTGATAAAACTGCAACTATGAGATTTTATGGATTTATTTATAGATAATAGATGGAATATGGGAAGAAGAAATAATTTGTAGGTTTTAAAAGATGATAAGTGATTAGAATAGTTTATAATTGTGAAGAAGGGGAAAGTCTTGCTTTTTACTGCATTCTTATTTATTCTCTAATTATCCTTCTTTTTATTTTCTGCACTTTCTTTTTTTTTCTTTTTACTTTTTTGGTTTGTATTAGTCTTTATTGTTGTAAATTGTAATCTTTAATAAATCTTTAATGAAAATTTAGAAAGAAGATTTATAATGAGGTTCGGGTTAGGCACAATGGGATGCAGAAAGAACAATGAGATGGGAATAATTAGCGATTAATAGAAATAGAGTAACAAAGAGAGCAAGGATGGGAATTATACACACAAAACAATACAACATCCTGAAGTGACCAAAAGAAAGAGGATTAATATGAGGAGAGGTTGAAAGTATCTTGTGATGGCAAAGAGGATAGAATAAAGGCAGAAAAATGGATTAACAGAAAGGATATGTTAAAAAGAGCTCATAGAATTAAAAAAGAAAGTAAAGTAATTTTATGCAACTAATAAATTAGAAGCAATTTGAAAGTAGCTCTCAGAGTGAAAACTCCTTGTTTGCCTCTGTATAAATTATATAAATTTTATTTTCTAAAAGTCAAGAAACTGCATACTTTGCCGAGAAATATTGTCTCCAACACTAGTGTTGTCCTCAGATATGTTGTCGCTCACATCACTTATGTAAGATTCATCATCAGAAGCCTAATGAAGAAAATACTGATTATTACTATTATTATACTGAAGAAATAAATGCTATTGTCACAAATTCAAATTCCTTATAATATTTGGGGCTTTTTTAGATCCATCCTGTTTGTCTGCAAATATTCTTCCCTTTCAATAAAACATTGATAGGTGCACAGATCTGTAGTGAATCCCCCTCTTGGCAAAACAACAATGCAACAACTGCTAAAAGAAAAAGCAGCAGAGAGATTTTGAAAATTATAGCATTTTGCTACCATTTTATAGTTTCCCTCAGTTTTACAGGTCAGATATGGTAGCCTTTATTTTATTTAGTATTTCAGAGTGTTCAAATAAGATGTACAGTATATTACCTTAAAACATTTGCAATAAATTAACTAATATGATTGCCTTCATACATGAAACATTGGCTGAGACATACATGTTTATGAAAAACATCAAGTTAATAGATGTGAATCATGGACAGGCTATGCCATGCCCATTTTCCTAATTAAAATGAGCCATCCAGTACTTCAATCTCACATTACATAAAAGTGCTGAGTAAAGATTGTTCTTCCTAACCTCATTTTCTGATGAGCTTGCAGATAGAAGCACTTCTTGGGCATCAAAAAATTCAGAGACAGATTCAGACATAGAGAGCCTGCTCTCATTAGAAACTTGTTGGGAAAGTGGGAGACTGACATGGATCTGTTCACCTGTCTATAAAAGAAAAACATATAGATGAATTCTGCATACTGTATAGTGAGCCTAAGAGCTTATACAAGCTATGACAAAACAAAAATTGCACCAAGCCACGATGGATAGATTCACTGCTTCTTGTTCACATTTCTTTCCTGCATACTGAGAGAGAAAATAAACCAGAGATGGCCCTATAAACCTGCGTTGTACCTAGCAAATTAAGAATTTAGTTGAAAAGGAGTCATATTTTCAGGATCAAAACTTTCTGAAAAAGAAAGAGACATGCATTATTTCTCTCGGGATTAGTATAATTCTGAGTACATTTGCACTGTACTTCCACATGTATTGATGAGAGTTGCCACAAAATACAAGCTGGCTAGAATTCAATTCATACGGAACCAGCCATTCCCTCAAACAGATAATTCTAATCGTTCCCACTGACATTCATCATTCTTTAATCAGTGATCAACTTCAATTCTCAATAAGTTATGTTTCCTGGATTGAGTATGCTAATAACTTCTAATTCTTCAGGTCTCCAGTTTTAATTATAGTCTTTTTATCACCCTGCTCTTACATATGCAATTAGAAAAAGCAGTGAATGTATTCTATTTACTGTATTTCAAGCAGTCTTTCGTTTTTTAGGATAGGTTATATATACATAGTTTTACCTTCTCAAAAGGTATTTTAAGGTCCCCCTTGGAAAGAGATACACTGTGCCATTCAGGCTTGCAGCATGGATCTCTTTTATTTCATTACTTCTCATTGTAAAGGCAATCCATTAAAATAATATTTCTCTATTTACAACAAAGCTGAACACACATAATTAAGAAGCTACCGTGACAGGATGGGAAGGCCTGAAAATACAGGAAAAGCAATTCCTACAATCCAAGAAAATGAGAAGTTGTATATGCTGTCAGATGCAGGAAATTCTGTTTCAAGTGGCATAGCCACTTTAACAAATGCCTAAATGAATTTGCCTCAATTCATACTATAGAAGAATTCTAACTTCGTGCAACAGAAGTAGCTTCGAATGAAAGATGCAAGAAAAACTTTTGTTTGAATTGAAGGGTTAATCAACAAAGCGCATGGTAACGCAATTAAAACAGACATAAAATGCAAGTAAGAAAGGAAGAGGGACACCATAACTTTCAAGAAAAGGAATTTGAAAGAAAAATAAATAATGAAATAGAGACTTTGGTGAAACCAGTAAGCATTATCTTCTCACGTATGTCTTAAAACTAAGTGAAGTTTTACATTTTCTAACCTGGAAGGTCTCTTGCTCAAAAGGAGAACAGGAAAGAAAGATCATCAACTGAACAGGTATTGTTGCAATGCTAATTGGTTTATCTTCCATCTTTTAAAATCCAAAGCATAAGATTGATAATGCCAAATGATCAGAAACAGAAAGGAAGCAGACAATTCTTACCATGGATGGAGTAGTGGGGTTACTCCGAGGATCTATACTGGTAATGACTAATGCTTTTTTAACACATTTTAAACTCATTTTTAAATATCTGAAGTTGGACTAGTCAAATAAGGTAATTGACTGTATGGACTGACCAGGGTGGCCAAAAAAGGGCAGCAGAGAAGAGCTCATCTAAACCCATTTCTATAAACTGGGTAAGAGGGTATAAAATGACAAATGTGGATCAAGAAATGTTAAGTATAAAATAATATGCACCAAGGCCAAAAATTTTAAGTTTACAACACACTGATGGCCACTGAATACACTGAACTGGCAATAATGAACCAGAAATATTGTGGGATCATAATGGGAACCAGAAAAAAAAAATTACTTAAGATTTTTAGTTTTGAAAAAAAAAGTAGCGGGTATGAATAAATTATGCATGATACAATGAAAGTAGACAGAAAATATATAATTTTTTTCTCTCATAGCGTAGAAACTCAGAAGCAGATTTAGGAAAAACAAATGAAAGTCTGTCTTCACACAGTATTTAAATGTATAGAATTAGCTATCCCAAAATCAATAGCTGATCAACTAATTAGATGTCATTGAGTTGATTTTAACTCTTAACACATACATAAACATTCTCCAGGGTAAGCCTATAGCTTAAGTATAATTTTAAAAAAGATATTCAAAAAATTCATGGGGAATAAAGTTACTAGTGGCTATTAAGCCAGACAATTTTAAGCCAATCTTAGGATCATCTCTGAAGATCAGCTACAGAAGAACATGAGTAGAAAAAAATGCTAAATATTCACAGGACCCCCATAGTACCTTGGGAACAGGCTGTTGTACTATATTTAATTATTATTTCATATAAACTGGTATGGCTCTTACGTATTTACATTTCAGCTGCATGTTCAAATACTGACTGAATGAGATTGTCAAGCATTCTACTCAGCAATTTAAAATATAGTTTTTCCAAAGGGAATTTCCCACTACAGCTTATTACTATCATGAATGCAATTAGAAAATTACTGCCTACAATGAGTTTGTCCCACTGCTTGCCAACTTTGCCAACCATAATCATTTAATCATTAATGGTTATTAGCAGAATTTAACTCTGGTAAGTCCATTCGAGCAATGCCAAAGTCTTACCTCATCAGGACTAGGGATAATATTTACACTGACAACCTGATCACAAAGAACAGACTCTGAGTGTATTCTGTTCAAACGACTCCTTAGTTCAGCATTCTGGTTGAGAGCCTTAAAATAATAAAATTGAATATTTAATTTCAACAGTAAATAATAGAGCCAAGCTATTTTCATATCCTATATCCTGGCCAAAGTATAGTGGTGTTATATAACGTATTGGGAAGGATTCATCTTCAAAATTAAGATCTCTTTGCTGATCATAAATGCTACTCCCCAAAGATTTTTTTACTTATGCATTATTGTAACTACTGTATTATGATATTTTCCCCCAAGATTTTATTACTGGTGCTATGGCTATGATGTTGGAAATTCCCTGCTAGAAATCCATAGTCCCTTACACTTTAGATAAGTATGAGACCAGCATAAAATATGGAAGATCTAAGTGCACCTTTTAAACAAAGCACAGCTTGGAAGGACCAGTAGTAAAAATGGTACTCAAATCTTTCCCTGTGGAATATTTTCTTATTCAGAATAATTTCCACACTGCTTTTATACAAGAAAATTAATCAGATTTCTGTATAAAATTCATCAGATTTCTGTTTCTTCTGTGAGGAAAGGAGTAAGGCATTATTTGAAAAACAGCCTATGGAGAATAGGCTATGGAGCCTATCTACCCCTTACAGTTCCAACAAAATGTGTAAGGAGACATATCAGTTTAAAAATAGTGTCTGAAATGTTTTACATCTCATTATATTTGGCTATAAAGACTGAAACCCAATGCAAACTTCTTACCCAGAATTAGGCTTACACCAAATTGGCTTGCACACTTATAATGCAGATACTGACTTACTTCCTTGTTTCATTAGTTTATGAAAGAAAGCATTTTATCCTTCTGGAAGGCTGTGAAGACCTGCCTCTTCCTCCAAACATTGGACCAGGGTGGGGGTTTAGCCTGAAGATTGAGACCTGATTCGTCAGACCCCAAGAGGAAGGCTTGCTCTGTTTTTATTAGTTGTGAGTCACCTAGGTTCTCAATGTGAGAGAAGCAGCCCATCTGAGTTCAATAAACAAATAAGCAAGCATGCATGCATGCATGCATAATTTCCAATGGAAAGTGATCTGAATATATTTTCTTTCTTCAGTAAGCAAAATAATAACTTAATAGAAATAATGCTTACCATGACCGCTATTTGTAACTCTTTAGTGTAAATAATACTTAAAATAATGACTGCTGCTTGTAACTCTTTAGTATACCAATACTTATTACTGATATCATCAGTCATAATCAGTCATAATCTCTCTCTCTCCCCCCTTCCTCCCTATTTACTCTCCAAATAATCATTAGCTTTTATATAATGGGATAGAAAAAAAGCAATAAACTCATGTCCTGAGTTGCCTTGTTTACTACAAATTAGAAAATACACATTTTAATATTAACTGTTTAATGTTTAGTTAAATAAGCTAGACAAGTTTGATTCTATTCAGCAGCAGAATATGATTCACCGGAACATATTGCAATGAGGGGAAAGCAGACCATGGATATTTTGGCAAATATTTTGATGATCAAAGAAAGAGAGGAAAAGATTAGTAAAGAAAAATGTGATTTCATTTGCTAACCCTGATTCTTTTCTAGTTTTAGAGATGTTTGTGTTCTTCTACAGAAAGAAACTCATAATAAGAAATGAAAACTAAATGATCAGAGAAGTGTAAGATGCCAGACTGGAAGCAAAATTGTATGCCATGTTACTATGATTTTATCTTTAAACCATAATAAAATCATTACATGACAATAAAAATGCTAATTGGGTCACACTTAGATGATACTGTGACCAGAGGCAAAAGAATAACATTCTGGTAGATATGGATTATTCCATGAAATACTTTTTTTCTTCCTCACTTCTTTGCCTATTTTCATCTCTACAGAAATTGTTATACTAGGAAAGGAGATATTCTAGAATACTGGATTTCAAGATAAGTGCTAATCAATAAACATTGTAAATAATTTCCTCCTCCTTGAGAAGGAAAAAGAATAACAAAACAGAAGAGATTATAACCAAAACTTGTATTATCTAATCATCTAATGAAAAAAAATGAATGAGGCTGGACAACTATACAACAAAAACCCTATTTGGAAATATTTTATAAATTAAAGCATGACTTCAAGTAGAAAACAGTAACAGTAAAACAAAGATGAAAGAAAAACTATAGCTGTTAACCAACCTAATATCAACATTAACTTAATTGCGAATTTATATGTGGATGCAGTTAAGGCAAAACTGAGGAGAATATCAGTGGGATTGTATGTGCCTTACTTCCATGCAATGGATAACTGCACTGTGTTGTATTGTATATTGTATTGTATTGTATTTATCACATTACTTTATTGCAAGTGCAGATTTTATTTAAACAGACTAATCAAAAGGAGGGAAGACAGGAAGTCTACACCGAAATATTTGTGGATTCCTCAATGGTACCTTATCTCTGAAATGCTTTCACTTCTTTGCCTATTATCTCTGTAATACTCTTCTCAAAAATGCTTGGCAGATATTTTCAATGTAGTTCCAAGACCAGGTCTCTTATTCTCCCAGGCAGATAAACACATTTTTGTGGATGCTTAACCACTTTTATTGCTACTATTGCTGTGGTTTAATGCTGATTAATTGTCCATGCTGTGGCAGTTCATGAATTCTTATTTTGGTTGTTGTTTTTTAATATTAGTCTTTTTTTTTAAATTACATTTTACTTCATTCATAGTAAGTAATGAAATAGCAATACATAGAATTGTGTGATATACTATGATCTAAATTACAAAATGAAAAAAAGTCATATTAGGCAATCATACAAAACTTTGCTGCTGTCTATAAAGATATCCATTTCAGCTAATATCTAAATAGGCAGATATTAGATTAATCAAAGGCAGGGGTAGGCAACATTAAAGCCAACACCCTTCTATTTTTCAATATGAAAGCCTTTCTTGTGATGCAATTAAAATATGTCAGATTCCCACTGAAAATTGGTAGCATAGTTTTTCAGATGTTGTAAACCTTAGGATACAATTTAGGGGTGGTAGAGGTTTCTTTGTCTTCTCCATTAAAAAAAATTGGAAACTCTTGGCCATGAGGTGTCATATTAATTTACTTAGCATCACGCCCTCCCAGCCTAATAGATTTAAGGGATACATAGGAAACAGAGACTATTACGTTAACACTTCTCCATAGCTCCCTTTACAACTTATATACATGTGAATAAGAAAAAACATTAAAGAAATGCTTGAAGTGGAACTCTAGGTATAGAAAAATAAAATTAATCAATCAAATGTTTATTGTCAATGCACAACATGTGTACAATGAAATTGAATATTAAAATTAAAAATCAGTATAAAGTCTAATATTAATATCAGTATGTTTTCCAGCAGAAACAATATTAATTGATTTATCTTATACAGTAGATTGAAAACACTAAGAAGAAATCACAGGCATTCGTTTTTATTATGTTGCATGGAAGCATACAAAATAATGAAAATTATTGCTTGTACTACTTTGTATTCTATTATCTATTAAAAAGTTGCTACGTGTCATGTGTAATTAGAAACTCACCCTCCCCACCCCCAAATTATAACTATTTCCAAGTCAACATTCATTTTCATATAACTTTACCTGAGAAAGTGATTGTCGGAGACGTATCATCTGTGTGTTGTGTCTTGTGAAATCATGTTCTGTTACCATCTGTTTCAGCTTTTCCTTTTCTATTGCTATACTGTTAAACGCAGACTTTAAAAGAGAATGTACTGAAGAAGAAACAAGAATGTCTTTGAAAAACACCTCATTGTTTTTGTATGCAATTATTATTAACCTAAACATTATGCATGCAGAAAAGCACTGATGGAAAACGCTACACAGATAGTCCCTGACTTACAGTAGTTCATGTAATGATTGTTCAAAGTTACAATGGCACTGAAAAAAGTGACTTATGACTATTTTTCACACTTACGACCACTGCAGCATCCCCATGGTCACATGATCAAAATTCAGCTGCTTGGCAAAGAGATCATATTTATGAAGGTTGCAGCATTCCAGGGTCATGTGATCCACTTCTGTGACCTTCTGACAAGCAAAGTCAATGGGGAAGCCAGATTCACTTAACAAGTGAAATGATTCACTTAACAGCTGTTGCAAGAAAAGTCATAAAATGCGGCAAAACTCCCTCAACAAATGTTTCACTTAGCAACATAAAAGTTGGGCTCAATTGTGGTCATAACTCAAGGACTACCTGTATACAAAATAACCTCTTTAGAATACTTTCACAACTATCTCCCCCAAACTGAAAAGGGTTGACACAACAGCACCTCAGATATACACAGCATGAAATAATGATTTATATTCTGCTCTTGAAAATGTTTCTGCACACTATGCTCTCTCGCAGCTCCTAATGATAGATATTTCAGCGGTCACCAACCAGTGGGCTGCGGAAAAATTTTGGTGGGCCGCAGAAGAAATGGCCCCCAAAAGCAATTAATCTGGGCTGCGCAGTTCTTGTGCCTCCCGGCTCTCTGAGGGACCCCAGAGTCAGGCCCCTGAGATGCACGCGCCAACCAGCTCCTACACCCGGTGCCGGCGGCAACAGCAGTCCCCTCCCCCAGTGCCCGCTGTCAGCTCTTCCCCATTAGTTCTCTTGCTTTGAATTGTTCCCGGCTCTCTCTCTTTCCTCCCCCCCCACCCACGTGCAGACAGGAAAGGAAGATGGAGCCGTGCACAGCTCTCCCCTTTTCCAGCCCTTGCTGCCTCTCCCAACATCGAAGCCTCGGAAACGCAGGCAAAGCCGCCGCAGCGGTAGCATCCTGAGTTGCCTTAGCATGCTCGGTTAGTTAAGAATCGCCCTACCCAGAGAAGGAAGTGGTGCTGCTGGAGGAGGAGGAGGCAGTAGTGGAGAAGCAAGCAACTCAGGGTGCTACCGCTGTGGCGGCTCTGCCTGCGTTTCCGAGGCTTTGATGTTGGGAGAGGCAGCAAGGGCTGGAAAAGGGGAGAGCTGTGCACGGCTCCGTCTTCCTTTCCTTTCCTGCCTGGGAGCAATTCAAAGCTAGAAAACTAATGGGAAGAGCTGACAGCTGGCACTGGGGAGGGGACTGTTGTTGCCGCCACTGCCATGTGTGGGAGCGTGCATCTCAGGGACCTGAGCCGGGAGGCACAGGAACTGCAAGTGGGAGCATTTGATGATTTCTAAGAACTCCTGGAACACGGTAGATTGGCGTTTTGTAGGTCTCAGTGAAAGAGTGAGCTTTGTTTCGTCTCCTTTCCTCCCCTGGTAATGTGAGAGATGCTTTCTCTCTCGCCCGCCCACCCCCAAATAATCACTGGCTTAATTAATTAACCAAGAAGAAAATTATAACCAGCCACATGAGCAAAGAGATCCAACAGATGATCATCCCAAGAGAAAAATCTTCCAGATGCCCCAAACTATACGGCCTCCCAAAAATACACAAAGAAGGCATACCTCTCAGGCCCATAGTCAGCTCCAGAGGAGCACCACTACAAAACCTAGCTAAACGCTTAGCAAAACAGCTACAGCCCCATGCCGAAACAGCAGCTTCACATGTACAAAACTCATACCACTTCTTGGAAATGATCAAAGATCTACATGTGGAGCAAGAAGATCTGCTTGTAAGTTTTGACGTGGTTTCCCTATTCACTCAAGTCCCGATAAAAGAGACCCTTGAAATCATCAAAAATAAATACCAACCAGCTAAACACCTCATGGAACTAACAGAACACTGCTTAACCAACACATATTTCATATACAAAGGACAAAGATACAAACAAATTGAAGGAGCCCCTATGGGATCACCACTGTCACCCGTCATTGCAAACCTGTTCATGGAAGAATTCGAATCCAGAGCCCTGGCCAATGCCACCCACAAACCCAAACTATGGTTAAGATACATCGATGACACATTTGTGATTTGGCCCCATGGAAAAGAAAACCTAAACAATTTCCTAACACACCTAAACAGCACACACCCCAAAATCAAGTTCACCATGGAAACGGAAACAAACAAACAACTACCATTCCTAGATGTACTAATCTACAAAAAAACAGATGGCACACTAGGACACACCATATACCAGAAGAAAACACACACCAACCGCTACCTCAACACCCAATCCCACCACCACCCAGCACAGATAAACTCCGTGGCCAAAACACTAATCGCCAGAACCAAACGCCTGGCAGACAAGACACACATTAAGACTGAACTATGCACCCTGACTAAAGTACTGACAGCCAACGGCTTCCACAAAAACAAAATCACCAGCTTGATCCACAAAAACACACTGAAACATAATAGAGACCCAGAAGTTGAACAGACCTATGGAACAGCTGTCCTGCCCTACATAAGAGGTACTACAGACAAAATTAGTAAGGTACTACACAGACATCACATCAAGACTGCCTTCAAAACAGACAGAAAAATAGCAGCCATCCTTAGCAACCCCAAAGATAAAATTGACCTGGAAAACCAAGGCATATACGAAGTCCCCTGTGCATCATGCCCAGCCACATACATTGGACAGACCAACAGAAGAATAAGTACCCGCCTGGATGAACACAAAAATGCAGTCAAAAAGCTGGAACACACTTCCTCACTAGTCCAACACATGGAAGCCACAGGTCATAGCATCAACTTTAATGGCACCAAAACCCTAGCCACTATAGAAAACCCTAGCCACAGAATCATCAGAGAAGCCATAGAGATTGAAAAAAGACCAGAAAGCATGAATAGAAGAGATGATTCCACCAGGCTGTCAATCATTTGGAGGCCTGCACTCACAAACAAAAAAATCTCCACACCACAAGCCAGGCAAACACCTGGGCACAAACAGATCCCCCCTGATACCTCCAGCTCAAACACATCCCAACCAGGCACCCAGATGAAACCCAGCTTCCTAACTAATGATAGCCGTCCATTTACCCGAAGCCAAGCTGCACTAAAGGCCTCCAATAAAGTAACACAATGCTGCCAGCCAATCAAGATACAAAAAGAGCCAAAAAACAGACAGAAGATATTAGAGACACCAATCAAGCAGAACACAGCAAACTCCGAGACCAATAAACACAGACCAAGACTCCCAACCAATCAGGATGAAGAAAAAACCATTCTGGCACAGCAATAGGCTGCCCCAAATTTAAATCTGAAACCACTGTAAAAGCCTGACTCACAGACGGACACAATACAGAAGCCTGATGATGGCAGATGAGATTCTGCTGAAACGTTGCTACAACTTTAAAAGAACAACTACAATGACGTGGGAAAATACCCGAACAAAGCCGAAGGCCATACATGTAAGTACCCGCGAAAACTTAAGAAATATATGGTCCCTGAGATCCAAAAGGTTGGCAACCCCTGGACTATTTTGCTTCTGACTTTTACTATAATGACAGTCTCAATAGAACAAAGGCCTTTTTTAACATTTAGATTAATACTGCTGAGAGCACTGACACAGGCTTGAGAAGTTTCAAGAAAACTAGCTGCTGATCTGATGAAAAACACGCAAGTGATAAACACAACTTTTATACAGGTGTAGCTTTCTACAAAAGCAATTTTGTATGTTATAGCAATAATGGCAATTTTGCATGTTAACTATAAGGATTCTTTGAAACCAGTTCAGGAAGAAAAAGTCTCTTACACATCAGATTCCAGTTATTTACTTTTTCACTGATGAAAAGGCCAAATAAGAAGCAGCGCCCAGTGGGATACGTGTGCACTCACCTTTCTGAGCCATGAGGCAAAACTCTTCCTGAAGTTTTATGTAGTCTGTGGGGTTTTCCAAAGGATCCGATACGTGAGTGGGTGGGGTCTGAAATTCGATGTCTGCACAAAGGTTAGGATTAGATGAATGTAGGCGAACAGGAGACATTGTAGTACTGAAAGGAACCTAAATTGAAAATCAACACATACATCACACTGACTCCATGAAAGACCAGAAAAACTTATAATACCTAAATAATTTCTTACATTATTTTAGGCTTTATATTGTAAATATTTACAAAGATTTTTTTTTTAAATTGCCATTCTGGTAGAGGGTCCTTTCTGGTTTCTATAACTAAAAGAACTCTGCTCTTCTATTAACTGAACTGGAATTTATTTTTCAAAGTAAATTACAATTATTTTCTTTTTGTATATCTTACGAAGTTCAAAGCATATAACCATAATTAGTATGATGTCTCCATCTCTAAAAGATGCAGTTTTTGGCTTGAGTATTAATGTATTAGGCGAACGAGCCTATCTTAGTGATTGCTATTTTTATCACTCATTGTTCTTTGTTAACTCAAATACAATTTCTAAATAGATTGGACTCTTGTATTTGTATGCACGCATACTCTTTTTATATCCATACACATGTACTATTACCATAAAAATGCTCCTTTAACATTGCTACCATTTTAATAAGTGACTGAAGGTGATTGAAAATTATATCAAGTTAGTTTTTTAAATAGCATTATGGTGCTAGTCCTGTTTGGAAATTCATTTTTTAGATATGGACACATTGTAGGACTGTATTTGACACTGTATTTAAGCAGTAGTTTACTATTATCTTAATAGTATTAATATTATAATAGTATTAATAGTAATAGTATTATCTTAAAACAGAAAGCATGCTTTAAATTATTTAAACTATGTTTAAAAAACAAAGAAGTGATAAAAACAGCACCCTTTTACAAACATCACACTAAACGTGTACTAGATTGTGAAATTCACATAATAGTGCTCCATATTTCAGAACCACATCTCATTAAAAATATAGACAAGCAGCATTTATGCAAGTGATTATAGTGTGTGAACTTCCTACAAAATGTGAGTAAGCAAATCATGGAATTTCATCAAAAATCCTCACCTGGAAGCAGTCCAGCACTTTTGTTTATTTTGCAGCGAGTACCAAAGTTAGACTCCTTTCTCTCAAAACAATGCTGATTCGTTTTGAACATTAATTGAAAAATACTTATACTACTCAAGGAATACAGTTTTCACTACACACACAGAGCTAACACTTATAAAGTGCAAAAGGCAAGAGTCTTCTAAAGACAAGTGGAACAAATCACATACTGGAGGGGAAGAAATAAAATAGTCGATTTTAATCAATACCAGCTGGAATTATTCTGAAAAAGCAGATAAGTGAATGGTAGCATTTTAGATATACAGTATATTACAATTCAGTTAATGATGTACACACTTAAACAGCTCAGTAAATAAAAAAAGAAAATTTTCCTAAAGAAGAATTAAGATTAATACTGAAGGAATACATCTCCAAATCACATACTATTTAGCTACAATGTTCTAGTGTCTAAATCAGTATAATTTGAAAATATTCTGTAGTATTTTTATTTACACTAGCTTCCCCCCAAAATTCATGCTAATATAATGTGCTTCAATTCAATCCTCCACAACTTTGTGCATGGTGGTTTTCAATAATATCTGGAGGGCATGATCAAAAATTATCCTATACAATGCTTAGAATTAAGATTCTTTGAATATCTAAAAAAGGCCCAGTGTAATATGCCATCTCACTTTTATTATTTTCTAAAATATGCCTGCTGTATATATATTAAATGTACGTTGAATGTGTATAATTTTAATACAACACATTTGTTCAATTTTGAGATATGTTTTTAAAACCTATCCTAAACATGGTATGCAATCTGACATGCTCACACACACATAAATAACTACAATAATATACATGCTCCATGTATCGACATGCACAATGTAAGTAAAGTTAGATGTGTAATTAATTTTATTTTAAAATTTACTCCAATTCAAATTGCTCATATAATTTAAGGACCAGGAATACTAGGAAAAATATTACAGAATATGGCTGTGAACACTTTGAACATGATACCAACAGGGTTTTAATCTCACACAGCAGCCTCTCTCTGCTGATCATTTAAGGCAGTGGCCCCCAACCTTTTTTGTGCCACGGCCCGGTACCGGCATCACAAAATGATCCGCGGCCCAGTACCGGCATCAGCACGCATGACAAGGCAAGGCGAGCCGAGCGACCGGCCAGCCAGCCGTCCCCCGGTTCTCCCCGCCACCTTCAACTCCTCCTTTGTATCTTTGTCGATGGGCTTCGCTTCGGGACGGCTTCGGGACGGTTGCTCGGCTTGCCTTGCCTTGGGTGCTGAAAGAATCCTCACGCCTTAGTTTCATTCAAAGCCCCCCCCCCTTCGATGAAACTAAGGCGCGAGGATTCTTTCAGCACCCAAACGCCGCTTTCCAACCGGAAAAGCTCACCCGGAAGCACTTTCTCGTCAAACAAGATGGCGGCACCCAGCAAACCGGCGGCCCGGTAGGAAATGTTCCACGGACCGGTACCGGTCCGCGGCCCAGTGGTTGGGGACCCCTGATTTAAGGTACCCCATTTAAGTATCTTCTCTATAAGTCTGCTGCTGTTTAAGAACTGCAAGAACTTTAATGTGTGGATTCCTTAATTTCTTCACAAGACATCCTAATCACTCCTTCCTAAGAGTTTTCAAAGCTTGCCCTGTCAATCACAAAAAAAAATTACATAGTATTTTAAAATAATTTGAACAACAGCAACATAAAAAGTCACATTACTCTATATTTCAATAAGATTATTTTATTTTCCATACTATTTGAACCTGGACTAAAATAAAATTGTTAACAACTTTTCAGATCCTGGACTGAAATTCTTATTTAGCTAAACTATATTTCTGTTGCGTTTCTTTCCTCTAGGTATCTTGTTATTCTAACTGAAAGGTTAAGTCCCATTTAAGCTATTATCTGGAACCCCATTTAAATCAACTAAGTTCCAATATTTAAGCACAAATCCAGCTGAAACTGAAAAAAACAAGAGGAATTTGCAATGTTATTGTCACATGCATATAATGGATAATATTCAACTAGACATATCCTACTGTAACAACACTTTCCCAATCTTTTCCCTTGGAGAGAATATAGAAGAGGAACGTATGGTTACACTGACAAAGAAATCAAGATACTAAAGAAATCAAGGTATTAGCACTGAACTGTAAATCTTTCCAGAGAAGAAATAAACTAGGATCTTCTTTTTAAAATGGAAGCAGGAAAATGTTAAAAATTCTCTTGTATAAATATGAATCATAGTTTGAATAAACTATGGGGAGAAAAAAAACACCTTATAAGACTGAGGGCTAGGGCAACACACCTTGCCTTCAAGAGGCTTTGAAAACACTTCTCCAACATCGGGAAAACATCTCTTGCAATGGCTTCCTTTGATGACAATAGGAGACAAGGACAGAAGAAGTTCACACGAAGTTAACTCATTCTCTGGAAACCTCTGGGAGAATATTTGCACTCCATAGACCCGTGTTGG